AGGCACGAGAGGAAGGCAGGGGGACACGTGACTACAGGCCCGGCTTTGGACGGAGGAAGAGGTCGCCAGTCACAGAATAGGGTGGCATCCAGAAGCTGGGAAGGACAGAGGGACAGTCTCCCCTCTCCGGAAGGAAATGCAGTATCCTGACACCTGGATTGCAGCCCAGCGAGACTCCTGTCCGTCTTCTATGCTGAGAGCTGTGATGTAATGTGTTTGTGTTGTTTCCAGCCACTGGATCTGTGGGAGTTTGTTTGTTAGGGCAGCAGTGGGAAACTAACACACACGTCGGAGAAAAAAGGAAATATTCAAGGAAGCGTCAGCAAAACGGTAAAAGTGCATTCTGTAAAGAGAGCTGGGACAGAGGGAGTTCATTTACCACGGCACCTGAGTAGCAAAGCATTGTTGGAAATGTTCGTCTGGGGCCGTGGTCGGCAAACTGCGGCTCGCGCCACATGCGGCTCTTGGGCCCCTTGAGTGTGGCTCTTCCACAAAACACCGGGGCCTGGGCGAGTCTGTTTTGAAGAAGTGGCGTTAGAAGAAGTTTACGTTTAAAAAATGTGGCTCTCAGAAGAAATTTCCACCATTGTGCTGCTGATATTTGGCTCTGTGGACGGATGAGTTTGCCGACCCCGGGTCTGGGGCAATGGTGCGTCAAGATGGAGCTACTTAGGGCAATATGGGGAGAGAGCGTGGAAAAGAACAGGGACTGTGTTTTTCCAGCCTGAATCCCAGACACCGAGCCTAGTATACGATAAGCACTCGGTGTTTGCAGGATGGAGCTGCGAGGCGAGGGCGGGGGGCTACAGTTTATGGTGTGAGATGACCCTAAGAATAGGGGAGCGGGTGTGCTGGAGTGGGGGGCAGGGCGGGGTTAACTAGCCCAGCTGAGGCCTGGGGGTGGGGAAGAAGGGAGCCTGTGTTGAGGCCATTCATTAACAGCACCTTTGTGAGAAGCTGTGAAGATCCTTCCCTAAAGCAATCCTCATGACAAGGGGAGGGCCTGTGCCTGAAGGTACGGGAGGCAGGACTACACCTGTGGGGAGGACAGCAGCAGCCTGTGGTTGCTAGGGTTTCGAGCTGCTTTTGGGAGAGAGACAGCCGAGGAAATCAAGGTGGTGCTCCTTACCTTATGTACACTCAAAGGGGGCGTGTACATAACATAAGAAGTGGGCACTAACTACCGTGTTTCCCCGAAAATAAGACATCCTCCGAAAATAAGACCTACTTACAGGTTTCCTTCTGAAATATAAGGCATCCCCCCCAAAATAAGGCCCTCCTAGGCTAAACATGAGAGATTTGGTCCACTGATTCTGAAAGAAATGGAGTCACAAGAAATTCACCAGGAAATTCAGGAATTGGATTGTTATGATGATGTTCCAGAAGATGATGACATGATTGTCATTGAATAAATGAGTAAATTCTTGATACTGTAGGATTCACAGTTTGTTTGGTTTGTGTTGACAACTACTGTACTACCGTACCGTATAGAGGTAATAAATTTCCTTTATTTTCATTTAACAATAAATGTGTACCGTATTCTTCTTCATGGAAAAATAAGATATCCCCTGAAAATAAGACCTAGTGCATCTTTGGGAGCAAAAATTAATATAAGACACTGTCTTTTTTTTCCGGGGAAACAGGGTAGTAATGAATGCAGAAATGGGACCCGGGGCCAGAAACCTTGAGGCTAGCATCAGAAAGGCAAAAGCCCACATGAGCAGAAATGTGTGGACTGCGTTAAGAAAAACAAAGCCTTTTTAGGCTACAACCAGGAAAAAGCAGGGGAGAGAGGTCAACTGCTTCAAGCAACTGGCATACAAAGTACAGAGGATGCAGATCTGCTGAACTTCAATTTTCTCAAAAAGAATGGTTTTCAAACAGCAAGTGTGGGAGAATCAAGGTTACGCACGCTATGAACCTCCAGATGGGAATATTAAACAATCTAGACATTTCAATAAATACAAGTATCCAGTTCTCCCATCCAAGTACTAACCAGGCCTGACTCTGCTTAGCTTCCAAGATCGGGCACGTTCAGGGTGGTATGGCCATAGACAAGTATCCAGTTCTCAGCAAACTACATATCTTGGATTAACGAATGTGATTATATATCTAGTGATCAGGGACATTTGAGAAGTCACAGGATTAGGAAAGAGCCATACCATCAGACACAGGTAAGTGTTATTCCTATTTTCAAAAACAAAAAGGCTTATCTCCTAATCTATAAGTGGGTACTTGCAAAGTAGAAATATGTATTAAATGGCTGCCTTTGGTTAGACACTATACTAGATTTTATTGTACATTATTTAATGTGGATTCCAACACAGAAAGAGTAGGCTATTATTCATTCATGTACTCCTGGTTATACTGAGAACAAGTCATGCCAAGCTTAAATTTTATGGTTTGGAAGGGAAATCAGGAGGCAGTAAATCATTTTGGGAAATAGTTTGGCATACACCTAAAAACAACTAGGACTTTAGCTTGGATGATAACACGGTCTGGTAATAGTTTGGTATACACCTAAAAACAACTGTTTTAGCTCTATCCCCAAAGCTATAACAGTGCCGGGGCCCAGAAAACACTCCTTATATGTTGACTAAGGGTCACAACTCATAGCTGACTAGAATGTTAAAGTGCTCCCAGTCAGTACACAGCAAGGGGTCTCCGGCAGACCTTTGAAGTTGGCCTTAATCTCGTCCAGCTCAACATTCGAACAATAATTGTGAGATGAAGTCAACTTATCACATTCAAAGATGACATGTTAAGGGCAACGAACGTATTAGAAGGCCAAAGTCAAAATTCAAAAATATCTCCACAGCTAAGAGAACTAGGTGTGAAACAAACAAAGCAGAATTTAATAGGATGCAACATAAAGTCCTGTACTCGGGCTTGAAAAAATGAACTGTACAACAGGCTGAGGAAACCTAGCTTAAGAGCAGTGCATCTAGAAGAAGCCATTTTCATTTATAGCAAACTCAATAAGAGGCAGCAGTCTGAAACAGTGGTCACAAAAAGCTAATGCAATTCCAAGCTGCACTGAGAGAAGACAATGTCCTCTTCACAAATAATATCATCTCTGGGGAAGTACTCAGTTCTGGGAATTGCATTTTAAATGAATCAATAACTGAGTGTGTGTGTAGGGGGGTAGGGGAATCTAGGCTAGGGAATGCTGGGGACAAAAGCTACTGAAGGAACTGAGGATGTTTAAACTGCGGAAAGGAAAATACTATTTTTTGGGGGGGAACAGGGGTAGGGGAGAAGCAGTGTCCAAGCACGATCTCATCTGTAGAGAGGATATGCTGTCAAATGGAAAAGGGAGCTGACTAGGATTGGCAACTGGCTTTCCTTTCCTGAGCCAGCTCCAATCACTGGTAGTGCCTGCCAGGAACTGGTGCTGAGATTCTGAGACTTAAATGCGGTCAGCGGGAAAGATTGCTGTGATTAATTATCCGCTGTCATGGGTGGTGGTGGGGGGAGGGCAGTTGTCTATGTGAGTGTCAAGTAGTTATTCTTTTTGCCACCATACAAATCATACCCATCAAAGCCCAGGTGAAGTCACATTTTTTGCACAGAGATGTCTCTGGGGCTTCCATCTTCCACTCCCCCCCCCCCCTAAACTCTACTTAAGTCTACAGCACATCTTAGTCCACCTTCCTTTCTCACAGCATGCAAAATCAAAATTTAGCTCACTGATTTTTCTTTTAAAAAAAAATATTTTATTGATTTTATACAGAGAGGAAGGGAGAGAGATAGTTAGAAACATCGATGAGAGAGAGTCATTGATCAGTGCCTCTTGCACACCCCCCACTGGGGATATGCCCGCAACCAAGGTACATGCCCTTGACCGGAATCGAACCCGGGACCCTTCAGTCCCCAAGCCGACGCTCTATATCCATTGAGCCAAACCGGTCCTGGCTAGCTCACTGATTTTTCAACCAGTGACTTTGGCCTCCCCGAGGCCATCTGGCAATGCCTGAGACCTTCACGATGGTCAGAACTGGTGCGGAGGAGCTGCCGTTGTGGGCAGAGAGGCCAGGGATGCTGCTAACCACCCCGCGGTGCACAAGACAGCACCCTTACAAATACTTTTCGGGCTCCAAAGGGCAACCGTGCCGTGGTGACGAAGCCCTGGATTACTGAGTGACCTAGTAGAAGGCAAAGCCCCGAGCTGGCGGAGCTCGCCGGGTGCAAAGCCTGGGCTGCGATGGGACCAGCCGGCCGGGCGTTAACCGGGTTGGGTCCGGCGCCCCAGGCCGCAACTAGATGGAGAGACAGGGTTAACACCCAGCTCGCGCGGGCCCGGATATCCCCCGGAGCGCCCGCCCCCGCCCCCCATCCTCGCTTTACCCCCTACCTGCGCCTAGACGCGGACTTCGTAAGAAAGTATCCACTGAGCTCCCGCCGGCGACCGGCGCTCCGAATCTTCAGTAAGGAAGAAGCCGGGCAGTCCTCGCGGGACTCCGAGGCTACGCTCTCGCGATAAGTGGGCGGGGCGTCCGGCGGTTGGCGCGCGGGCTCGCTGGCGCAGACGCAGTAACGCTCCTGAAGCTCCGGGAGTCAGGTCGCTCGACCTGGCGGGGCTCCGGGAGAGGGCGGGCCGCGCCCTGAGCGGCCGGGAGGATTCACGTGGTGCCCCGGCTTCCAGGGCAGCGGCTTTTCCAGCCTCCTCGTCCGATGTCACTACTCGTGGGCCACCACCGGTGAGAGTCGCGCTCCCCCCCCCCATGGCAACCCGAGGGGAGGAAGTGCGTTTATCCGCCGGGGTTCTTAGTTCGGAGAGGGCGGGAGGCGTTTATTCGCCGGGGTTCTTAGTTCGGAGAGGGCGGGAGAGCATTGAGCGGTTGCCCCGCGCCGCGGCTGGGTTCCGAAGGTAGGGATCCCCTCGTCGCCACCCGGAGGCGGGACAGGCGGACCGGCTCGGTGGGAAGCGACGCCGGAGGCGGGACCGGGCGCGCGTGTGAGGAGATTAAGCATCTTGTTTGTTTTTGGTTAAAGAGCTGATGGGTGCGCGTGTGAGTTGAAGCATCCCGTTTGTTTCCGTTCAAGCGCGCGAGGGGACGAAGCTTCGTGTTTGTCTCCGTTAAAGCGCCTACCCGGTGCGCGCGAGGGGACGAAGCTTCGTGTTTGTTTCCATTAAAAGCGCCTACCGGGTGCGCGCGAGGGGACGAAGCTTCGTGTTTGTTTCCGTTAAAGGTGCGGGTGAGGGGGCAAGGCCTCGGTTTGGTTAAAGCGCAGACCCGGTGCCCGCGAGGGGACGAAGCTTCGTGTTTGTTTCCGTTAAAGGTGCGGGTGAGGGGGCAAGGCCTCGGTTTGGTTAAAGCGCAGACCCGGTGCCCGCGAGGGGACGAAGCTTCGTGTTTGTTTCCGTTAAAAGCGCCTACTGGGTGCGCGTGAGGGGACGAAGCTTCGTTTTTGTTTCCGTTAAAGTGCCAACCAACCGACCGACCGGTGCACTGAGGGGACGAGGCCTCGTGTTTCGATAAAGCGCCAACCGGGTGCGCTGAGGGGACGAGGCCTCGTGTTCGTTCCTTTAAAATGCCAAATGGGTGCGCTGAGGGGACGAGGCTTCGTCGTGATTGTTTCGTTTAAGCGCCAGTCGTTGCGCACTTGAGGGAACAAAACTTGGTGTTTGTCTCTTTAAAGCGCCAACTGCGTGCGCACGTGAGGGGACGACGTGAGGGGACGACGCATCCTGTTTTTATTCAAGCGCTAACCGCCAACCTCGAGTGCACGTGAGGGGATGACGCTTCCTGTCTGTTTGCATTCAAGCGCCATCCATCCGGGTCACAAGTGTCTGTTTCTTTAAAGCGCCAATCAGGTGCGCCGGTGCTTCCAGTTTTCATTTGGGCGCCAACCGGCTGAGCACGTGATGGGGCAGCGCTTCCTGTTTCCATTTAGGCGCCAAGCTGGGGTGCACGTGAGGAGCTGGCGCTTCCGGTTCGCTTTCATTCATGCTAACTGGGTGTGCAGGCGAGGGGACATGGGACTAAGCTTCCGGTTTGTTTGCGTGAAAGCGCCATCCCCGCCAGGCTTTTGGCGCTTTCCCGAAGGATAGCCCCGTTTCCGTCCTCACCAATCCCTCTACCTGCCCGGTAACTCTGAGCCTCTTCTCTTCCAGCCTACAATGCCCCCCAAATACGACGTGTTGACTCAAGACGAACTGCGCAGAAAGCTGTACCAGACCTTCAAGGAGCGAGGGATCCTGGACGCCCTCAAGGTACCGCTTTAGGCATATCTGTTCCACAATTTTCACGCGTGGCAGCTGTAACAGGCAGTCCACATTTAACTCCCGGGTCTAGGTTTTAAAACAAGGTGACCAGACATGCCGCTTTTCAACAATTTGTCCCTGGTCCCGCGGCGTTTTAAAAAAGTCCCGATTTTTGCCAAAAATCGGGACTTTTAAATTTATTTTTAATTTATTTTTATTTTTTAAATACAATTTTATTGATTTTGTACAGAGAGGAAGGGAGAGAGATAGAAACATCGATGAGAGAGAGTCATCGATCAGCTGCCTCTTGCACACCCCCTACTGGGGATGTGCCCACAACCACGGTACATGCCCTTGACCGGAATCGAACCCGGGACCCTTCAGTCCCCAAGCCGATCTCTATCCATTGAGCCAAATCGGGACTTTTTTAAAACGCCGCGGGACAAAATTGTTAAAAATCTGGACTGTCCTTTAATATCCATAAATGAGTGAGGCCATGTGGTATTTCTCTTTCATTGACTGTCTTACAGCGGGGAGAGTAGGGAGATCTGGGGGAGATAAGAGATCAACCGAAGGACTTGTATACATGCATATAAGTACAACCAATGGACACAAAACTCTGGGGAGGGAGGGTATGTATGGGAGGCGGGGGCAATGTTAAAATATGTACACAGATAATGATTTAATAAAAAAATTTAAATAAATAAAATACTCAAACCAAAAAAAAAAAAAAATCGGGACTGTCCCGCCACAAGCGGGACGTCTGGTCTCCTTATTTTAAAAAGAGGGCGATATGCAGACGGTATTGGTGAGTGCTATCTTTAAGGTTTGCGGTTACCCTGGGACAGGCATCCCAAACGGCTTAGCGTTTGCCTGGTCTTCATGTTCAATAAACTTATTGGCTAACATTCAGATAGGAGTGAGCAGCTTTATAAAGTGAACACATTTTAGTAAGGTTAGACTCGTTTTATGAAGCTGTTTGTAGGTTCCTGGATTAATAAGTGGTTTTATAAGGGTCATGTTTGAATGAATGAACGACACTGACACCATATAGAAGACGTTAAGTGTGCTGCTTACCATAGGATAGTTTGGAGAATGAGAACTTTAAAAAAATGCATTGAAAGGTCTGAATATTTAATTTGGGCAACAAATACTTATTAGTATGAATTAACAGCAAGAAGCAGGATTAATAGCAATGGATAGGATTACTTCTAACATGTTTTCATTACTACATACATTTCTGAAGTCTATTTTACACTGAAAATGTGGCATTTAGGAAATGTGAGTTTGTTTTTCTTTCTCCCTTCCCCATTGTTTTTGTAATTTAAAAACACCACAGCATCACTTCAGATTCACGTGAAAAATACAGGAAAACAAGGAGGAAAGTCATCTCTGATTCAGCCACTTATTGGCATAATGGTGTGTGTATGTGTGTATTCTTAGTTCAATATTATATGGTGAGCATTTTCCTGTGTCCTTAAACGTTCATTGAAATCCTCATTTTCATGGCACCAGGCCCATGTTTGGATGTATGTTTAATCTATGTAGCAGTGCCCTAATTAATATTTAGCTTGGGCAGCAAATATTTATTAATACTTTATATATAAATTAACAGCAAGGACTAGGAATAGTTCAAATGTGTTTTCATTACTATACATATTTCAGAAGTATATTTTACACTTAAAATGTTGAATTTTAACCTAGATTTATACATCTTTCAATTGCATTTTTCATTGTTGCCTAATTAAGTGGCTTTACTAATGTTCTTGTATGGCTTTTTATCCTGGAAAATCAAATCAAGGGCATGAGCATTTTTTTAAGGCTTTTAGCTTCTTGTTCTAGAAAGATTGTTATAGTGTGACATCAGCAGTTTGAGAATGCTTGTCTCACTCCAATATTATTATTATTATTATTATTATTATTATTATTATTGTGACATTTTAAGAACCAATTTAAGATTGAAAAGCAGCTTTCATTTTAGTATTTATCTCTTTGTTAATGAGGTTGCACATAGTTTCCAGCCATTTGTCTGTTTTCCACGTATTGGCAGTTTGACTCTTGCTCATTTTTTTAGGATATTAGTGTTTTCTTATTGTGTAAGAATTCTTTTAATAGAAACTATTAATCTTTTTTGTAATTTTTGTGGTGTTCAATTTTAAATTGGCTCTAAAATATTGATGTTATATTTCTTATATGGTCAAATCTGATTTTTTTTCTGATTATTCTCAATAACTTTTTCTCTACGAATAGGATGAATATTCACTTTTTAAAGTTTTTAAAAAGGCTTCAGTTTTTATAGTTAGCACTTAACCCACCTAGAATTAGTTGTAGTATATAATACATTACTACATCTTCTAATGTAGGATGGTTATTGCATTCCTGAATGTGGAATTTTTTTTTTCTGTGTTTTTGGATTAGATTTGGTCCTGTTTGGCTTCCTATCTGTAGTAAAAATTGACTAATCCTGTCTTTGCTATTCTTTGGCTTTGGTATCAGGATTATGCTAACCTTGTTCACTCTATAGCGGCTGTATATCCTTGGGAGAAATGTTTCCTGTTTGCAGCTGGCTGCTGTTTCTGGAATTCTAGCTTGATCGATGTTAGGGCAAAGTTTTACTATCTCAGTCCGAGCTAATTTTTATTTTCTCAGTTCAAGGACTGTGGTTGGGGTGAGTTCACTTATTTAAATTTCTAGTGACCTAACTCTATTTGGATGTTTGAAAAGAATTTGTATCTATGACTAAGTATAAAGTCACAGATACCTATTAATGTTTATCAAGGCCTTTTCATATTTTGAGTCTACTCAGTCTGAATTTCTGAGAGAGATGTGCAGAGGATTCCCAAGTCTCTTCTTTCCCACTTCCTCTCCCCCCACAATAATTGTATTTATTGTTACCTTCGGGACTATGCAAGGTTTAATTATGAATGGATATCTCTCTGCATTAGCTGCTGGAAAGCCCTAGCCAGTCTTGCCATTTCTTCTAGCAAGTGCTAGATGGCATGCTTTTTGTATTTATCAATATGGGAATACATTTATGATGTCATTTCATTTTAATTCTCTTATTTTCCTCTCAACCTGCTTATGTCACTCATTTAAATTTTATTCAGTATCAGTACTTGTTTATAGGACACCTTGAATCACTTTTATCAATTAAGCTGAATCTAAACATACTACTTCTTTAGCGTGTTACAAATCTCATTAAACCATCTCTAAATTTTACTGATGGAGAATGCTGTAGTTTCTCTTTTATTATTTGCTGTTACTGAATAACATTAGATGAGGCAGAGCATGCATATTCTGCTCAATGTAAATGTCTTTTGTACTATAGGATTTTTGATGTATGAGTCTTGTTCCATATTGGTAGTTGTATACTTCTCTCTAGCTAAAGGATGGGAGATAGAGGTAGAGCAACTCCATTAGTTTTTTGCTGATATTCTAATAATATGAATATATTAGATATTACTTAGTGTTGAACCCCATGGATATAGGCAGCATACTCTTAAGCTCAGCCCAAATATATTTCCAGTTTATATGCACAATAGATTAGAAAAATATCCAGTAGTTCAGTTAATTTAAGATTTTCTTAAAACTCAAAGGAATAACACCAGTTATAACCTTGAAAAATTTAACACATCTTGAACCTAAATTTCCTTATTTATGAAATGTGTTGAGATATAAATACTATATATGAAAGTGCATGTTAATAAGCCATCTTTAGGTTTACTGACTTCTCTCTTGCGTATCTTACTTCCTTTTGGGGAATTTTATTTTTATCAATATGCTCAATAAACTGGTTTTACCCAATATTGTTTTCATAACCTCCAACAATCCACAGAATTCTGTTGAGGAAGCAGCAGAATTTTCTCTGATGATTGCTGTCTTGACCAAAGGCTGCTGAAATGGGCTCATAGGAAAGACAAGTAAGAGTCTACATGTGTTCTGACCACTAGGTCAGTTGGAAAGCTTTCACTGATGAAAGCAGACTTCTTTGGCTAGAACCCTTGGCCTAAGTGTGCAACAAAGAAGTTGTAACTTTTGTCCATGGATCTAGAACCACTGGAAATAAAAGGTTTCTAAATCGTGTGGCAAATCTGTGTATCTTCAGTGCAATAGTCCTGCTAAAAGTGTTTTCCCTCTTGTCTCTTCTCTTTTTTGTTGTTGTTTGACTAGACTCAACTGAGAAAGCAGCTCATTCAAGAATTGATGCACCCTGTATTGAGCGGAGAAATGAGGCCCTCGTCCATTTCAGTGGAAGGGAGTGCCCTTCTAATAGGCGCTTCTAATTCCTTAGTGGCAGATCATTTACAAAAATGTGGCTATGAGTATTCACTTTCAGTCTTCTTCCCAGAAAGTGGCTTGGCAGAAGAAAAGGTAAAGTTTTTCCTCACCGGATTTTCTATTAACAGTCTTTCCACCCCAGATGATAAAGTGCTGCACAGTAGCCGAGTGCTCCTTGGCTGGCTTGGTCCATTTCTCAGTCATCTTTTATATAATGCACCAAAGAGAAGTACTCAATTTGATATATCAGTTCCTTGGAATCTGTTAATCTGTTAAATTGTGATGTGTAGAATCACGAAATGTTTTGTAGTTAGAATTGATCTTATGTTCCATGTAGTTGATTCAGATTCATAACTGCCATTTATGTTGACTGTTGTGAGCTTGGCACTGGGCTAGTCACACTGCAGGTGTACCTGTGACCCAGATGATGAGGAACCAGAGTCTGGAGAGGTGAGTGATTTGCTCGAGGTCACAGGATTTTGAGGTGGTAACCTAAGGCAGTAAATCTAGATCTCTAAAATGTGCTCTTTATGATGCCACAGTCTCTGTTTCTAGATATTTCTCTTCATGATTATATAACAGAAGTAAGAAATAGATGAACTTTTTAAAAATCTGTAGTGTTCTCAAATATTAAAACACATTTTATCACTTTCCTAATTAACTTTTTCTCCACCATTACCATTGAACATACTAGTCACTTTATTAGTATTTTAAAGGCAGACATAGCAAACTTTCTGTATATTTTTTAACTAGACTTAACTTTTTAGAGCAGTTTAGGTTCACTGCAAAATTGAGCAGAAAGGAAGAGTTCCCTTATGCCCTCTCCCCTCTTACATGCACAGCCTCCCTCATTATCAACATTTTTACAATGAGCCTACATTGTGGCATCATTATCATCTGAAATCCATAGTTGACATTAGGGTGTACTCTGTGTTGTCCCTGTGTTTTATCTTAATCTTAATCTGTAATTTGACCAAAAGTTTTATATTCAGAAGTTTTAAGAAATCATGAACAGCTCTAATATTTGAAAAACTTAAAATTTACATATGTTGCATTTATTCATTAGCAACCAAATTTTACTTATCAACATTAGGAATTCTTTTTTGGTCCATCAGTATCTTAAGTTTGTTATTACATTTCATAATTTTATTTTTGCATGAGCAATAATAGTCAATTATATAGTGATTGGAGCAGTAATTAATCTACCTCACATGCTTGAAGTTTTTTACTATAAAATGCTGTGCAGAATATTTTCTTTAAAGGAAAACCAATAGGAAATAAGTCATAACATTCTCAGCACTGGGAATATACACAGAGTGGCCAGATTATGATCTCTTGAGTGCATAATAATCTGTCCACTCAGTATATATCCTATATAATAAAAGACTAATATACAAATTGTCCTCTCAGCCAGGAGTTTGACCAGCAGGCAGTTCAGAACTGCCCATGTATGTCTCTTCCCCCTGGCCAGGCTGGCTGGACCCCACCCATGCACAAATTCATGCACCACCACCACCCCTCACACATGCCAGGCTTGCCCAAGGACCCATGCACCTATTCATGCACCGGGCCTCTAACACACACACACACACACACACACACACACTCTCTCTCTCTCTCTCTCTCTCTCTCTCTCTCTCTCTCTCTCTCTCTCTCTCTCAGTGGCCTGATTATTATGTGTTCAGAAATCATAATATGGCCACTTAGTGTATATTAAAAATAGCTACTCAGAATATTTGTTTAAAACTATTTGCAGTATACTTTAGTCATTCATAGTTGTAAAGATAGTAAAAATTTGGTTTATTTACATTTTGAAGCAATATTTTAAAAAAATTCATTGCAGTTGAAAGACCCTGGAATTCACTCATGACTCATATTCATTGGTTCATCAAATGTTTGAGTAAGGCACTAATCATTTCTGTCATTTGTTAGGCATATCATCTTCTTTGTGAAATATTTGGAGATTAATTACATGACCAAGAAATATTTTATCCATATGGTCTCAATATGTTTATTGTAATTTAGTAGTATAAGAAACAGCTTCAATTTTATATTAGCAGTTATAATCTTTAATCTGAAGATGATTTCTAGTCATATTCAGAAACACCTTAATTCATCTTTTAGACATTAATGTAAAAATGTCTATCTAATTAATATTTTTTCCCTTAAGGTATTTACTATGCAAGATCTGTTACAACTCATTAAAATCAAGCCTGAATCCAGTCTCTACAAATCACTGGTAGGATTATTTAGTTTTTATAACCTGTTTTGGTTTGTTAATTATATCTGAATATTGAATAAAAGTGAAAATGTTTTATTTTAATAGGTCTCAGGATTTGATAAAGAAAACAAAAAAGGTAGGAACTTTCATCTTTACAGAGATTTAATACCATCTTTGTCATGCACTTTTCCGATAAAAGTATGAAACAATTTTTAGAGGGAAGAATAGGGAATCAAATTTGAATTAAATTAAGGATTTTTTTTGCTGACAATTCCTGACCTTTTTAATAAACAGTAAAATCCATCTATTGTTTTAACAAATGTAGATCATTTCCTCTAAACTTCAATTTCTTAAATAGCTCTTAGATACTGAAATAAGATACACTTTGAATAATTATAGAGGTAGTGTTTGTACTTCAACTGGGTTTTCAAACTTCCAGTAGCATTTTAGGATGAATTTCCTTTCTTCAAAGCTTAATCTGAAAAGAAACATCAATTGAGCTTCCCAGCTTCATCTAGCATCCTTGTAAAATTTCTGAAACTCAAAAACTATAAATAGCAGACATGTCAGGAATTCTAGAGGCAAAGATTATATAGAACTCTGAACTAACTGTAAAATAGCCAGTGTTAAAATGAAATTATTTTAAAACTTGGTGATTTCTAATTAAGAAGTTAAGGCCATCATAAAACATGTAAGTAAGGAAGATATTTTGCAACTAATTATTGTCTTATCTCCTGACAGGGACCTGTGTGTCGCACTCACAAATGAGGTCATATTATAGATAACTTTTCTGATTTGCTTTCTTTAGCCACCAATATATCTTTCTATAACCATATTTAGACTACTTTTAAGAATGTAGTCAATTAACCACCTGCTGATGGAGGTTTCGTTGTTTACTTATTTGGGTTTTTTCATTAGAAGCAGTGTGCAGTGTGTACACCCTTTGTGGAAGTGTAGCTGTGTGAATTCCTAGAGGTAGAAAGACTAGGTTAAAGGGCATGTTCATTTTGAATACACAGATATTGACAAATTTCCCTCCTTAGTGATTGAGCCTGCCAGTTTCCCCACTCTCTTGCCAGCACTTCATATATGATCAGAATTTTAATCTTAGCAGTCTTATTTGGAAAATAGTTGTAGTATTTGCATTTGTTTATGATTTTATTTAACATTAGTTTTTTCCCTCTAAACTCTTTGTCCATGCCCTTTTAAGAATTTTCTTACTGATTTGTAAGAGCTCTTTGATATATGAAAATTAGTGTTCTGTCTCCAAAATATAGTAACTCTTTTTCCAGCTACCATTTGTCTTTTGACTTTATTTCATGCCACATATAGGTTCTTAATTTTTATGTTGTCAAATATTTCTCTTTTATCACTTCTAGATTTTTGTGCCATGCTTGGGAAGGACTTTCCTCAAACTATTCTTTAAAAATATATAATGTAAAACAGGATAATGTGATAAACCCAAAATTTGTAAACTGTGACTGAGCAATGGTTGAATGAAAGTTGTAAGACCAAACTTAAATGTACATTGTGTTTTTTAGGTTTTCTTGTGGAGTTTCTAAAACAAATGGCACAATCTCTTCAGGCTAAAGATACTTGTGACGTGGATACTCAGACAAGTCCGATGTTGCCTAGCAAAGACACTCTTGGTAATTGCAGGATTCTTTCATAATTTTAGGTTTTCTGTTTTTTTTTTTTTTTTTTTTGAATGAAGGAAATGACCTCCTTTTTCATGTTGTCTGTGTTCCTAGACTGGGAGGGATGTAATCTGCGGGGGGGGGGGGGGGTGTGTGTGCTCATTTCCTCTTGTGTCATTGCTGGAAGGGACCAGTTCTATCCTCAGTGCTGCCCCCCCCTCCATGATTACCAGGGACATCCAGAGGCCCACATTCTTGTTTGTTGGGTTGAACCTCTCAACTGGGAGGCTCTTCTCTGTGTTTTATCTAACTTTATTTACAGTCACTAATGTGAGAAGACCTAGATTATTTATATTGCAGAGAACTAGAGAAGTCAGTGGCCCATCACTTCATTTTATAGTTGAGGAAACCGAGGTCGCCAGACAAAGGAAAAACAACTTGGAAACACCCAATTTGGGTCAGAACTGAAACTAGAGTCCCAAGTTTTCTGGTCCGTGATCCAGATCCTTTTCCATGGTATAGCCTTTCTACATACAGTACCATCATGCCTTTAGTTGTATGCTCAGAAGGGAAACAGCTGGCTAAAATGCTGTGATTAATCCTGGCTCCTCCTTATTCACAAGGAGTAATAACTTGTTAGACAGTAAGATCAAATATCTTAATCTGCTTCTGCCAGCCTTTTTTTTTCCTGTGCATACTTTTTGGTGGGCACTGGTGTTCACATAGTTGAGATTGCACTCTTGGTGTGGGTTAGCACTCTTGTTAACGTTCGATTCCAATCCACATTTGGTGTGAGGGCTGTGGGTGTGCTGGAGAGAGCACTGGAATGAGAGAATCAGTAGACCTGGCTTTCGTCCCAGTTATGCCATTGTATAGTTGCTTAGCCCTCGATGAGAGTCACCTACACTGTATGGGCACCTGTGTCCTCTGTAAAATGGAAGATTTGAAATTCATGATCTTTGATTCATTTTAAAGTCAGTGTTTTGAACATGTGACTCGACTTTCACCTATAAAAGAACTCTCTGCTTTGGCACTTAGAGACTGGAAAGAGATGCCAGTGTTTTCTGACTTAAACTATGCTTTCTTTTTCACTGACATTGTATGATGAAAATTTTCAAACATTCAAAAAGTTGAATAGTTTTACAGTTCACCATTAAATTTGTGTTATACTTGCTTGATCACTTTCTGTCCATTCAGTAATCTATCTTAATTTTTTGAATTATTTCAAAGTAAACTGCAGACCTCCCTGCTCTCATCCCATGTATTCTTTGCTTTTGAACAGACTTCTTGCTCACCTGGCCTCATTCCTCTACTCTAACTGCCTGTGTTTTTTTAATAGCTGAGAAGCTTCAGGATATTGATGATCAGTTTGCAGGTGCTTACTCTCAGCATCCAAAATTAGACTCTTTAGAACAGAAGTTAAGTGAATATAAGAGAGAAATAGAGCAACAGCTTCAGGCAGAAATGCATGAAAAGGTAAGTTTATCTTGTTGCTATTAACAAAATGATATTTTTGCTTGTTTTTTTCATTCTTAGGTATGTAGGAAAATATCTAGAATATTAATGAATGTGGTACTATAGTGTTGTGCATGGTATTTTTCTTTCCACTTGATGCCATTTCTTTTGGCCTTTTGAATGAATCCTGATAGGTACAGTGAATGAGATGAAAGTAAAGGTGAATTTAAATATATTTAGAGTGTGAAGTTAAACCTAACCATGGAGAATTTGTTACTATTTTTATAGTACTTTACTGGTATTTACAATTATTTGTGATCAATTGACAGTTGCAGCATTTCAAAAATACTGAAATAATGAAAATTAAAATGGAAGAGAAAAGAAAGTCTGAACAGGAAATAGCAAAGTTCTGGAGTGAGGTTGAGAGAACTTGTCAAGCAAAATCTGAAGCCCTCCTTAATCGGGAAAAGATATCCCTGGAGAGAATTCAGAAACATCAGGAGGTAATATTTTAAAATTGTTTAATGAGTGGCTCTTTCTGCAGCTGTTAGATTGGCTCGAAGTCCAGGAGCGAGATGGGACATTTAATGGAACAATTGATGACTCAGGCCCTAGAGGACCAGTAAGGACTGTGGTCAAGAGTGGACGTGGAAGAATCAGCCTTGAAAAGGAGATATAGACTTCTTTTTCTGAGACTGATGGAAGGAAAAGTGGAAGTGAATGTTCATGTCAGAAGTGTGAGCTACCCGCAGGAAAGGAGCAGCAGACAGATGTGAGGATTAGGTAGTGACCTTGAGGAGAGGACTAGAGGTGTGGAATGGCTACTGGAGTGGGGGGGAAGAGCAGAGCAGCTCTCTGACGGGATTGATTGAGCTGTTTTGGGGTTCCTGCTGAGGTGGGCAACCTGGAATAGAAGTAGAACTAACTAGGTACTTGTAGGAGATTGTTCTGTTGTTGCTCTTGAGAAGATTTGGAAGCTCAGTGAGAGCAGAAAGATGGTTGGGAGTGGAGCTTTATAGAGCTGAATTTATTTGATTTGAGAAAGAACCTGTTTAATTGAAGACATTGAGATTCAGCATGATGGTGAATGGAGCCAGAGCAGAGGGTGGATGGATACTAACATGGGGGAGAAAGGAGAGCTACATGGCCATCTCAGACATTAAGGAGTAGGTCTGGGGAGACTGGCAGGTGGAAGAATAAGGGTGGACCAAAGAGGACAAGAGTTACAATTGAGCTTCTAGGTGCAGTTGGAAACCAGATGCACTGTGCTTCCATCCAAGCAAAGGCGAAGGTTCCTGGATTAGAGGGGTCTGGGGCTGTAAGCATCATCCATGTAATCTTAGCACCCAGGAAAGGGACTGGAAAGATTGTGGAGAGATTGAGGAGTGGTGGGAAGTGCATGTCAGCAGCAGGGATTGGATCCACTCCTTTAGGGAAAACTGTTCCTTTCCCAAGGGGGTCAGACCTGATTACATTGGGGGAACGGATTCCTATGTGCAGCCAGAACTTACTGATGCCAGGAGATGGTTGAGGAAAAGGCTTCATCCAGGCATCAATCCTTACTTGGAGCTTCTCAGTAAGACCCAGTTATTAATGGTGATTGTACCTCCTCTGTGATTTTGGGTAGCATTTCTGGGAATTGCACTCATTTTAGCTATAAAAATAAATGGAAGCACTGGTTTTCGAGATGATGGGTTGTGTTCAGACTAACACTTTCATCTTCAATTTAGTTGACTGACTAGATTAAATCAACCAGTTGTTAGCCACTGTCTCCATTTAGTCACAGATTTCCCTAAAGGCTCTGCTTTGGAGAAGGTTGCCATTCTCAAAAAGACACTTTGCCTTTACTCTGCCACCTGAATGTCTGTCCCCTTCTCTCCCTGATAAAACTGTCATGTCCTTCAAACTCCAGCTTAAATGTTGCCTCCTGGTACACTTTCCTTGATTCCCATCGATGGACTCATTTAGGTGTCATTCCTGCGGTGGAGACTGGACTCTGGTTGTGAAATCATAACATTGTAGTATGATGGTTTCTCCCTTAGTAAATCGTGAATTTTTTAAAAGATGAGGACTATATTCCTCTTTTCATATCCAGCTCCCAGTGTGCTTTCTGACCTGGTATTTAGTAAATCCTTGCTCAGTGAACACGCAAATGGAAGTGTGGCCTGTTTTTTTTGGCTTCATATCAGTTTGCTCATGCTGACCAAGGCAGAACCTCCTGTGAATTGAAATGTTCAGGCAACAATTGCAGAACCATGGGGATTCTGCTTTAAGTTTTATTGTTGAATGTATGTTTCATTTCTTTTTTTAATTGAAGAATTTATCAAAATTTTAATAACATGTTAATTAAATAGAGTAATTACACAAGGGATGCTAGGAATACTAGGGTAATGTAGCTTAACAGTAATGGGAAGTAGTAAATTCTTGTGTAACTAGAACAGGCAAAATGCATACATTGAGGTGGAACCTCTTGAAAGTGAAATTGTTCCTCTAAATGTCTACTTTGTTCTCTGGAATGTAAGAAGCAAGTCCATTAGCTGAAATCTATTTTATTTTCTTCAGCTTGCTTGCTAAAAATTAATGCTTTACTTGACAGATGGAGACAAAAGAAATTTATGCTCAAAGGCAGCTTCTACTAAAAGATATTGATTTGCTAAGAGGCAGAGAAGCAGAGCTGAATCAAAGAATTGAAGCTTTTGACTTGTAAGTAATGTTTTCATGTTTAATATTCAGAGTTTGTGAGCTTAAAAAGAACTAAATACGTATAATTATTCTAATGCTAATTGCCAAGTAGAGTTCTTGTTTATAAAGGGGCCATCACCTGGTTTTAAAAGGCACAAGTTGAGAGAAACAAAGACTAGGATTTTGCTTTTGAAATATTAGACATTGGAATGACTAGCAGAGTGAGACACCATCATTAGACTACAGTAAAACCAGACCAGTATGTGGAAGGAGCTAACAATTCTAAAAAATCTTGTTGCACACTTAAATTCAGTCATTCAGACCTAACGGTTGCATATGCATAAAGTAACTGAATTGCAAACATATTGAACTGCTTTGCTGTCAGAGGAAATGCGGTGGCTCTGACTTGACTTGTACTGGGTGCAACTGTGATGTGTGTGTACTTTTTTAAAGTACTCACCAATATTTAATTATTCACATCTTACCTGTAATTAATGGCAAGCTCATCAGTCTCATTTATTCAATAAGTTTTCTTTCCCATTAGGTTCTGCTATTAGTTGACACTCACAGATACTCTTATTTCATTAGAGGATTTGACCCTAGTCTTCATTAATGTTCTCTCATTTAATTTTTTTTTTATTGATTTCAGAGAGGAAGGGAGAGGGAGAGAGAGAGAGAAGCATCAATGATAAGAGAGAATCATTGATTGGCTGCCTCCTGCACACCTCTCACTGGGGAATGAACCTGCAACCCAGGCCGGTGTCACTGACCGGAATGGAACCTATGACCCTTCAGTCCGCAGGCCAACGCCCTATTCAGTGAGCCAGACCAGCTAGGGCATGTTCTCTCGTTTATGTAGGCTTAATTCATTTGATTTCTCCTCTCTGCCTAACTTACTCTGTTTTTTTGCAGTAGTGATAAATTGATCATGAGATCAAAGAAAAAGTGACAAAATTTGGATGGAGATGGCTCAAGATTACATCATCACTTTATCTTCACTTCCCCTAACCCCCGTGGTCAGCAAACTGCGGCTTGCAAGCCACATGCAGCTCTTTGGCGCTTTGAGTGTGGCTCTTCCACAAAATACCATGGCCTGGGAGAGTCTGTTTTGAAGTGGCGTTAGTAGAAGCTTAAGTTTAAAAAATGTGGTTCTCAAAAGAAATTTCAATCGTTGTACTGTTGATAATTGGCTCTGTTGGCTTCTAAGCATACTGTATAAGCCAGTAAATGTAGTTTACTGCTCCATTGCTTTACAGATTAGCCAGCAGAGGGAGCTAACGCAAAGAGCTTTTTTTCTTGAGATGGTCAGCTTTCCCTAACATTTCCCATGGCTTGATCTGAGTACCCTATGAACCTGATTACCTGGATCTGGGATTGGTTTGTGGTTGATTTAAGGTCTCACTTGAAGGTCATTCCATTCTTTAGTATTTGGAAGTTCTCATTGATCCATCTACATTTTCTCTCGTTTGGCATTCTTTTCAATATTCAATCACTAGATTATTAAATTCCAAAAACAAATCTATCTTTAATATCTATGGGCTAATCAGTTAAATCTCACATAAACAATCTTACAGAAGAACAAGTACTAAAGTACACTGAAGTTTGGTATGTAGCTTTAATGTAATAGCATTGTTTTCACCTCTGGATTGATTTCGGCCATTTATCATCTGTAACTTTTTTAAGTGTGGGTTGTCTTTTGTGAAAAAGCACTTTGGTCTGGACACTTGCCCACTCCCTGCAGCCTGGTGCCACCATGCTGCTCCGTCTGCTATTTCAGATCTGATTTAACTTGGCCAGTTTATAGTATAGATGGAGGATTCTGGCTATTTCCATTTATTTCCTAGAGGTGACAGTCACATAACAGTTTTAGTCCATGGAGCTAAAAATCACGTTATTTTTTTCTCTTAAAGTCTTTATTTTAGATATTACAGCTTTTTATCTGCTTTTTGTTTTTGCTAATTTCAGGGCCCAGAAGCTACAACAAGAAAAACACAAAACTGTGACTGATGCACTTAAGAGACGGGAGCTGAATATAATGAGTATGGAAGAGACCTTTGACCAGAAGCTCAAGAATGAAGTTCTAAAGTAATTGTTTGGCATTCTTAAATAAGTAATATGTTTGAATTAACTTGATGGCAACACTAGTGAAGCAGATAAGTAACATTTTCTGGTGAAAGTTTATGTTTTCATTGATAGTCAAGCCTTTCCCATGAGTATTTAGCATAATTTTACAGAGTTACAGTACAGAGAATAACATCTCTGCTTGTTCTTACTTGTAGCTTCTCTAACATGTATTGAGAGCCTGTAATTTGCTTTTATCGTTAGGGCACCTTGTGACTTTTCTTAGCTCACACTGCTGATGAGCTGTAAAAGTGGAATTATAATCACCTTTAGTTCTCTTTTTCCATACCCCACTTGTACTGCCACTAAGATGGAGGTATCTAACACTTAACATATTATTCTACCTAGTGGTTATAGTGTTTGTCATGGGACATGTACCTTGTATTCCTTCAAGATTCTGCAAAGCCAGATTCAAAAGAAATAAACTTGCCGAAACCAGTTTGGCTCAGTGGATAGAGATAGAATCATCGATCCCCAGTCGGCCTGCGGACTGAAAGGTCCCAGGTTCGATTCCGGTCAAGGGCATGTACGTTGCGGGCATATCCCCAACTGGGGATCGATGATTCTCTCTCATTGATGTTTCTAACTCTCTATCCCTCTCTCTTTGTAAAAAAAAATCAATAAAATATATTTTTTTTAAAAAAAGAAAAAAACTATATGAAGAAAAAAATTATACAGGGAAAGGAAAATATGATAACTGTGGTTACCATGCTTTCCTATAGTCTCCGTTTTATTGTATTATAGTGACTATGATATCTTAAATGCAAAGATGTTAAATCCATATGGTAATTTCTCACCAGTGCTCAGTATAATATCTAATGCATAATAAGTGTTCAGTTAATATTTGTTGAGTAAGTTCTTGTTGAAGAAATGACTCAACTGAGCTGCTCTGGTATTTCTTAATCATTGCCCCCTTTTTACCGCCTTGCTCATAATTTGTCATTAATATTCCATTACATATTACTTGCAAATATTTCTTGAGCTTATTCTTTTTGTAATCTTTATTATTTAAAGTATTGCGTATGTCCTTTCCCCCCTATTTAATCCCTTTTAGCCTGCTACCACCCCTCCCCCAAGGCCTTCATCATCTTGAAGCTTATTCTTTCAAAGAAGTCTGATAAAAAATATAGTACCTTTCCATATATTGAGTTTGAAATGATGGATGTTATCGTTACATACTTTTATGTGAGCTCCTTGAGTATAGTAGCAAACACTGACATACCTGTAGTTGTTAAACTTTGAGGATTAAATGAGTAAGTGTGTATATTAACTTACACTGCTTTGGGTATCTATGACTTTAGCAAGGGTTGGAGTTCACAGATCCTTAGCACAGGACTGCTTCCCCTGCCTCCCCCCATCTCTGAGCCAGAAAGTCTGCTAGTAGCAGTTGATGGAGTTAAGTAAAACTGCTTGAAAGTGTGCCTTTTAGTATTGCTAACCCAGAGATGAAGGCGGTGGCAGTTGGCTCAGAACACTGTGCCTGGCCCCTGAGGCTAAAGTTTTTCTGGTGGGAGGCCGGGCAAGGCAGATAGATTGGATGTGACTGATTTCTTATTTTTTGGGATTTAGTCAGTTGTGTCAGTGTAAATTTAACTTAATTTACTTTTTCGTGTCAGTCCAGACCTGTGGAATAATTGTTCTCAGTAACCTCACAATAACATGAGTTCTCGGGACCCAGTTTACAGGATTGCAGCAGGCTCTTACTGGACCGTGTATATTCAGAATTTGGATCTCTGGCCTTAGTACTGAGAGACCTTGAAGTTATATATGGTCATGTTCATGCTCTTAGGTACCCGGGTGCCACAGAAGCCCAACACATTGATAGGAATCTGTCCACAAAAGTGACAAGAAACTCATTTTAGTCATTCTGATTCTCAGGTATCAACTTGAGCTAAAGGATGACTACATTGCCAAAACTAACAAACTGGTTGAAGAAGACAGAAAGAATAAAGGTGATGCATTATTACTACAAAATTACACATTTTTTGCCCTTTAAATTTTTACAAAATTTAAAAAATAATCATTGTCTTTCGCTTTGATTTTGCAAACCTTCCTGTTTAACCTTTTGTATATTCACAGAGATCAGTTATTTACTGGCAGGATTTTACCCAACTTTATATACATATTATATTTTAAAAATATGTTTTTGATTTTAGAGAGGAAGGGAGGGGGTTAAAGAGAAACATCTATAAGAGAAACATTGATCCACTGACAACTCACTGAGCAACACAGTCAGGACAAAATATAAAATATATTTTTTAAGTAGAGAGGAAGGAGGAGGGGGTTAGAGAGAAACATCTTTAAGAGAAACATTGGTTCACTGACAACGGAGCAACATAGTCCAGGACAAAATATAAAATATATTTTTTAAATAAAAGTATATCAAAAATGACACTTAACCTGAGAGAAAGTAGGGTTTTCAGGATTTTTTTAAATCTCATCTCCCTCCCTTTTGGCAGTTATCAGCTTGTTAATTATATTTATGGGTCTGTTTTTGTTTTGTTAATTTTTTTTAGATTCCACATATAAGTTAAATCATAAGGTATTCGTTTTTCTCTGACAGAATTATTTCACTTACCATAATACCCTCTAGGTCCATCCATGTTGTTGCAAATGACAAGATGACATTATTTTCTGTGGCTGAGTAATACTCCATTGTGTATATAAGCCACATATTCTTTATCCATTCATCTATCAGTGGTCGTTTAGGTTGCTTCCATATCTTGGCTGTTACTAGTAATGATGCAGTGAACATAGAGGTGCATACAATACATATTCCAAATGAGGGGTTTTGGGGGATATATGCCAAGAAGTGGAATTGCTGGATCATATGACAGTTATATTTTTAATTTTCTGAGGACCCTCCATACTGTTTTTCATTGTGGCTGCACCAATCTGCATCCCAACAACAGTGTATGAGGGTTTCCTTTCTCCACATCCCTGCCAGCAAGTGTTGTTTGTTGATTTATTGGTGATAGACATTCTGATAAGTTCAGAGTGATATCTCATTGTGGTTTTTACCATGAGAGACTCCATTTTTTTACTTACGGAAAATTTTATTTTAACATCTCTGTCTCCTGTGACCCAGTTTCTTATTTAACTTATGTTTTTATGCCTCATGTTATTTCCACTTGACTAAACCCCCCTGAACTGTTATATAATTAGCCCAGCACTATGAAGGAAAGTTGAATAATTTTTCAATCTCTAGGTATTTTACTTTTCAGTATATTTCTAGGAACTTGCCTGTGACAAGAAGTTGAACTTCAGTGGAAATTTCAAAGGACTTCTTGGAGTAAACCAGGGCTGGGTACTTGATGGAGACCTGCAAGGACACCCAGCGTGTGGCTGCTCCTCTGTGACTATCTTGTGGAGACTAATACTTCTTTAGGAATTAGTACCATTATGTAGTCAGCTAATTATTTTTTGATGATAATACCTGCATAGACTTGTATTAGATGAAGTGAAAATGACAAAATAGTGACTATAAAATTGTAAGACAAATCTTCGTGTTTAAGGAAATTCAGATCTCTGGGCATGAGGGCTCTGAGCACCTGGTGTAATTCTGGTTGGTGTGTGTAATAGGAAGCTCACCACATAGGGACCGTTAGGACTAACTTCCCATCACCAATTGGGAAAAAGGGCTTATTTCTTAACTTGCCCTACTGATTTTGGATTCCGACACCTGCTATTTTAGATGATGAAATAACGATCATTAGTTCTGACATTGGCCACAAATTCTTAAATGAGTTCTGTATCCACTAGAAAAATATGATGTTTAATTGGTTGGCTCTCTCTTTCAGAAAAAGCTATACTTTTGCAAGAGCAGCTGTTGGCTCTTAATTCAAAGAAGGAAGAACTCTATCACTGTGCAACTCGTGTGAAAGAACTTGAGGTAATTGCTAAGCCTATTGTTTTTGAAATCGATGTTAGGCAGTATATGGAATTTTAGTGTCATACATAATTTAGCTTGTTACTGTCTTAATGTATTTGGACTATTATATGACTAAGATGGTGATGGCCCAACTTAAATTAATTCAGTAGTTCTTCCTTTCAGTCTTAGTCTCCCAGGGAAGCATGGGAAGTACATCCTTTGAGGTCTGGAGTTCTGCTTAAATCCTGTGTCTCTCCCTTCTTGCTTGTGTACTCGGACAAGTTCCTTAAGCATTGGGGTGCTGCCCACATTCCTTGGTGGTTGAGGTTCCTTGGTGAGCTGACTTATGTGCCTAACCCATAGCAGGTGTCCAGCGCATTTTAGTTTCTGCCTCAGCCTCTTCCCTTCCCATCAGCAGAAGGTGAACATTCCTGTCATTACATAGTATCTTACAGGTTAAAACAGAATGAAATGTGTTTTTCACATGCCACTTTATTTTCCTTCTGTTCACCACATGTTCTATCTGAAGGACCGAGCTAGAACTTGACATAACATGAATATATCCTGCACATAAAATGTATTTTTGCAGCTGTAATGACTTATTTGAAAACTTTGTAAGAGTTTATATGCAAACATGAGATGTACAAAGAAAAGGAAAGCACCCACAGCGTGTTTGTGATAGTTCACTTTTCATATTCAAAAACATTGCTACAGTCTGATTGCTATTGGAACCTTAGTTGCATCTGGAAAACAGGTGATAAACTTAAGCAGAAGCACTTGCTTTGTAGGCCAGGATTCTGCATAAGTATGAGGTTGGATGAACTTCCCCTGAAGTCAGGCTCTTCTTACTGCAGAGAATAAGACTTCTGTCCGGTGACCTTAATTGCATTGTGATGCCCAGCTTAAAGCAGCCTGCCAGCTTTTGAGTAAGCAGTACTGCAGTCACTGTTCATTGAAAAATGCAAATTTTTTTCAATTCCAGCTTGAGCTTGAGTCTCTCAAGTCCCAGTCCTTGGCAATAACCAAGCAAAACCACCTGCTGAATGAAAAGATGAAAGAGATGAGTGACTATTCACGTCTAAAAGAAGAGAAATTAGAGTGTCAGGCTCAAAATAAATTACTTATGCAACAACTGGAAGAGAGCAGAAATGAAAAAGTGCATCTCTTAAACTGTATGTCTTTTTCCTGATATGCATGTCTTTGTAATTCATATTAGCTTAGTATTATGAAACTGTGTTGTACTACCTATAAAAGGCGGCTTCAATCAGAAAAATTTTATGCACTTAAGACTCTCGATTTGAAGTTACTGCCTTTTTGCTTGCTGTTGTATTAGTAGTGTGACTAAGAAGAAATGTTTTTAAACTGTACAAATCTGCTCCTCTGGATTGTACCAATTTCCCTTCACCCTCTGCTGTTCAGGTTTGGCCAGTGGGGTCACCTTCATTGCTGGGAAGGAGGGCTGAGAATGAGGTGAGGTGGTTGTTATCCCCTCCCTGCCATTCTCCCCTCCCCCAGCTGCGTACATTGGCTGTGGGCTGGCCCTGTGCCTCTCAGCCAGGCAAAATCCCATTGCTTGTGGGATGGCCTCTCACCAGTGCCTGTGCCTATGCCAGCTTATTCTCTCTACTTCTGGGAATTCTTCCTTCCCTGACCCTTTAGGCCAAGGAGTGTTAACAGCATGGCCCCATTGCTAGCCCAGGGAACCACACCATCTTTTGTGGCTATCCTGCATGAGTTACCCTTTATTAGAGGGTTCTTCAGTGACTGAAATGAGGGGACTCCATCTGCTGTCTGCCTGGACCCCAAGTGTTGCTGATAGATACACAGATCAGATTGGACCCAGGGGTAGTCATCAACAGATTCTGATGGAGGGCTCCTTCCATGCCTTCTGTGCGTGGTAGAGGAAAGAGGTGGGCTTTCAAGTTAACTTGAGGATTTGAAAGAATTTTTTTTAACTTGAAATGGGAGGAGGAAAAGTAGTGAAGTTTGCATTTATTTGCATGCATTAAATTCTGAAATTTGAGAGTCAGGATTGCTCTTAGTCCATTCCAAAGAATTAAGATACTATTAGCTACATGTGTACAAAAAAAGAAAAAAGAAAAAGAAAGAACAATTTAAAATCTCCTTAGTTGCTTTTGCTAAGTGAAATGAGAAAACTTGCTGTTGATAATCACTAGGCTTTTTTACCTTCTTAGGCATAGCTCAGCCATCTCCTGAGCTGGTAAATTTGCAGAAACAGTTAAAGAAAGCAGAAGCTACTATCCTGTTAGGGCATAAGGAGTTTGAAAACCACAAGGAAGTTATGCACAGACAGCTGCAAAGTGAAGTGAGTACTATTCTTTGGTTGGCCAGGTGTTAGGTCAGTCCACTGTGTATACATGTAAACTTGGCATATGTCATGCCATTGTAAATCAGATTGATTTTAACATCAGAAATTACTCCCCCGCTATGCTAAGGTATCCTTTCATCTGAGAAAATGCTCAAGTGATGATATGACTATGTTCATAACAGTAATAAAATCCAGAGGAAAGCAAACTCGTATAAATACAAAATTGTCCAAGTCCCAATGGTGCCCACTGGTGTGTCTCTTGGTTCTTGCTCTGTGACTTAGAACTATTGACACTCTGGTGTCTGCCTCATGCTCTGTAGATCTGTTCTTTGAGATCTGTTCTTAGATCTGTTCTCTGTAGATCTGTTCAATTTGAAAATGGAGGCAGGAAACTTGTGTGCTCTGCTGCTGTTTTCTAGGGACCTGTGGGATACAGGCATTAAAGCTGCTCAGAATGGGCAAAGCGGAAAAGAGAAGCCGGATAAAAGATTTGTTCCTTTTGAAGTGAACTGGGATTTCTTTTACATTGATTTCTTTCCCCTCTCTAAATCTTTTCAGATTGAGCATTCTGCAAAACTGAAGGCCCAGATATTAGATTATGATGCTTCTGTAAAGAGTTTAAATATGCAAGTGGCTGACTTAAAATTGCAACTGAAACAAACTCAGACAGGTTAGAGACATTTTTAACCTATAAATGTGTACGTGTGTGTGTAAAACTTCTGATGTATGTGGAAATATAATGATTATTACTGAAATTTTAGTAATTCTCAGTAGGGGAAAAGCCATAGAAATATGCCATCTTAGATGTAAAACTCCCTGTCCATTTCAGGAATACCAACTGGTTATCAGCTAATGTGACTTGCTTTTATAGGCTTTGAAGCTCAAAAGAAGTTTCTGTGTGATTAGTAGTTGAACTAGTTTCCACACTTCCTGGTCCTGAGCCTTCCTCAGTTCCTGTTTGTACTCTTTCCTCCTCAGTTCTTATTCTCTTCTCCCACACTAGTTTTGTTTTTATCTCTACTCATTTCTACTCCTTCCTGTTCCTTATTTTCTCTCAATTTGCCAAACTGCCCATAGCTGAACTCACAGTGATCTCAAAGGATGAAAAATAGTTTGAGGATGGAACCTTTTCAAACACATGCATTACTCTGGAAGCATTGCTGGAGAGAGCAGCCACAAGACTGGCTTGCATGTACTGGCTTTGCTTAGGGAGTCACTCACTGCCTGTGTGACCCAGCCTAAGCCCCCACCTGTAATGTGGGAGGAGGAGAGTTGTTAGATTTGTGGTTGCAGGTCCTCACACCCTTATCTGAAACTTGGGCCCTACAGTGGTTTTGCCACAGCCCTGGGAGTTCCTGTAGTAAACCATGCTTGCAGTCAAATGTATGACTGTCCATGCTGGGTAGAATAAATAAAGATTATGAATGGTTTTCATCAGTTCAGGTCCACTTAGGCTTTGCAACCAAATAAATTATGAGTAAGTTTTCAGTTCTCAGAGCTTTTTGGATATTAAGATTGTGTATTATGGATCATGAAATAATGAAACTGGTACATAAAAAAGCTCCAATAAATGTTAATAAATAATTAGTATTACCATGGCTTCAGAAATTGTTCAGTATGCATGTTTGTTCTTATTACTACCTCCTTTCATTTTTCGAAAAATTTGAACTTTCTGTGTTCATTGTCACATATCTCTGTGTAACCTGCAGCCCTAGAGAATGAAGTGTACCGCAATCCAAAGACATCTTTGTTTCCTTGTGCTGTCAGCGGATTCATGGGGCCTCCTAAGGATGAAAGACACAGGACTATCTTGAAAAATCTTCTCGAACAGGAAAAGCTGAAGGCAGATACAATTGCGTCAAGAGTCTTAAGTTATACACATGCAAGCACGGATGATAGCTCCCCAGATTCTGACATTGAGTTTGTAGCGAGCACCAAGGCAAGAATGAAAGAGCTAGAGCGTGAAGCTGAAAGCTTAGAAAAAGCTTTCCTAAATTACCGTGGTAGAGTTGGTAGTGGTCAGTACTCTGCTGCTAGAAGCCCAGGATCATCCAAGAGTCTGCCACCTGTGCACTTGCAAGAAACTCTCAAGAACATCATTTCAGGTTCCTCAGAAAGAAGTATTTTTGCAGAGGAAGCAGCTGTGCCCCCAAATCCTGCAGGTAACATGGCACAAGCGTTGGGCAATGCAGTCTCATGGCTCTGCAGAGGCCCCGACAGACGCCTTTCCTCCACTCCTCTTGCTAACCGAAGCCTAGATAGTGAAATGTATCTGGAAGGTAAGCTTTTGCAGAAAGGGTTGCAGGACTTGGATGATAATCAGTAGACCTTTTATTTGAGTAATAGAGAGCCCTAGATAGCAGGAAGCGGGGGAAAGTTCATGCTTCGTTGGGCCTGGGAAAGCCCTGGGCCTTAGAAATCTCTAGTTGTGTCCTCACTGCACCCGTGGTTGCCTACGTACCAGCGGCTTCTTGCCTATGGCACAACATTGGTGTGGAAGGCAATGGGATAGAGTGGCAAGTTCCAGCATTTTGCTTGGCATGCCAGGTGTGTTCAGAGAATGACAATGGCTTTTCACCTGTTACTGATTAGTTTTATATATTTTACTAGAGGCCTAGTGCAAAAAATGCATGCATGGCTGATGTCCCTCAGCCCAGCCTGCACCCTCTCCAACCTGGGACATCCCTCTCACAATCCAGGACTACTGGTCCCCATCTGCTTGCCTGCCTGCCTCCCTGATTGATGCCTAACTGCTCCCCTGCCAGACTGTTTGCCACTAACTGCCCTTCCCTGCAGGCCTGGTTGCCCCCAATTTCCCTTCTCTGCTGGCTTAGTCACTCCTAACTGCCCTCCCCTACTGACCATCTTGTGGTGGCCATCTTATGTCCACATGGGGGAAGGATCTTTGACCACATGGGGGCAGCCATATTGTGTGTTGGAGTGATGGTCAATCTGCATATTACTCTTTTATTAGATTGGTTAGAGGCCTGGTGCACAGGTGGGGGCTGGCTGGTTTGCCCTGAAGGGTATCCTGGATCAGGGTGGTGGTTCCCTTGGGGAATGGGGCGGCCTGGGCGAGGAGCCTGTGGTGGTTTGCAGGATGGCCATGCCCCTCCCCCCCCCAGTGACCCAAGCAGAGGCCCTGGTATCTGGAATTTATTTAAACTTTGTAGCCTTAAGTGGAGGCTAGGGGAAACCCAAGCCTCCTTCCTGCTTCTGATTGGCTGGTGGGCATGGCTGGTTGGCATGTTTTGTTGGTGTAGCGGAGGTACAGTCAATTTGCATATTACTCTTTTATTCCATAGAATACTAGATAGGATAGATTAGTATTGTAATCACTGAAGTTTCATTTAGGTGCTTGAATTGTTAATGCTGTGGATTATTTATACATCATACTCAACTATTTGCAAGAATAATAGAATTTCATTTCAAACTAATAGAACTTAGAAACCACATTGCTTTTTCCTCCATGTAATTTATTCTTGCCTTGATATCTTCTGCCCCTTAGGTTTGTGCCAGTCCCAAGTTGCTTTTCCCAGTTCTTGTCCAGAAAGAATGTTCCAGCCTACATCAACTGAGTCTAGGCACAGCTATTCCTTCTATTCGTTCTCCAACCCTCAGGAGCAGAAAGTCGAGTAAGTCCCATGTTATGATTGGCCCAGCTAAGTTGGGTTAGCTGCATGTGGTCTCAGCCCTGACTTGTGTGGTGGTTTTATTTATTTAAAAAAAAAACACTATTTTTTAGTGATTTCAGAGAGTAAGGGAGAAGGAGAGACAGAGGAGAGGGAGGGAGAGAGAAACATCAATGATGAGAGAGAATCATTGATCGGCTACCTCCTGCATGCCCCCTACTGGGGATTGAGCCTGTAACCTGGGCATGTGCCCTTGACCAGAATCAAACATGGGACCCTTCAGTCAGCAGGCCAATGCTCTGTCCACTGAGCCAAACCGGCTAGGGCTTGTGTGGTGTGTTTTAAAGTGATGCTCAGGACCATGTGGAGTGTAGAATTTGCAGTTAGATTGCAAGATGATGTGTGATCTTTGAGAATCATCTGAATTACCTGGGGAAAATTCCTTTTAGTAAATACGTAATTTTTCTTTGTTTACTAAACCTGATGTGTGCACTATGCACTATGGTAGCCAAAAGCATCTTCATAGTTACACGAATAGACTCAGTGTATAGAGATAAATAAGCAATATAAAAAATCTGCAAAAGCAAATATATTCAGTTTATTTTTAAACTTGAAGTAGTTTCACACATCATTAAAAAGTCATTTAAAAAACATTTTGGGCCTGGCTGGTGTGGCTTGAGCATTGACCCATGAACCATGAGGTCACTGTTCCATTCCTAGTTAGAGCACATGCCTGGGTTGCGGGCTCGATCCCCAGTAGGGGTCGTGCAGGAAGCGCTGATCATTGATTCTCATCATTGATGTTTCTGTCCTCCTCTCCCTCTCCCTGCCTCTGAAATCAATAAGAACATATTTTAAAAAACATTTTGGTACTTAAGTCTAAACAAACAAAATTCTAATTTGTCTATTGAGATAAATTCTGAATTGGTAGTGGGCGTAAGGTCTGATTGTTGAAGCAGAATGGAGTAGATGTATGTAGAAGATAGGCTGTGGGTCACCGCACGTTGGGATTGTTGAGTCATATGTGGGACTCCTGTCTGTGCATGATCCTTATGGAGGGAGACTCTGGCTCCTTAGTTCTGGTCTCCAGGATGGGCATCTGTCTGCTATTGATTCAGTCTCAGTGTACAGTGTTGAAAACTGGCACATGTATCCATCATGGTCCTAATGCATGTAATGTATATGTATTTATATTGCTCTCAAAGACAAGAGGAGAGACAGGACACATCCACTTGGGAGTTAGGGCTCATGGGGCTTACAGTATTGCATCTTCAGCTGACTCATCCTGATTCTATATAGAATTTGCTCTTTACAGGAAATGTTTTGTGGTTCTTGGAGAAATAAACAGCATTGAGAGTGCAGCATTATTCCTTGTCAACAATAGTGTCTGCCTCACAGTGTAAGGTGCTTCGATGGAGTGCCACAGCTAATGTCTTGATTGCTTGGAATGATGCCTAGTGCATGGAGTGCGCCCAGTGCAGAACAGCTCTCATTCTCACTGAGCACAGTTCATTCTCTAGAGCCTTTTCTTGAGTCACAAAGACTTCATAGTCCTGTGCTCTTGGTCTTACCCTATTATTTCTTCACACTCATGAATTTTATTTTTCCAACCTAGTCTTTATCAAAGACAAACTGAAGTTCAAGACAGAAATGAATCTTCAAAGGTGGATGAACTATCTTTTAAGGATAATGAGGAACTTGAATTATCTTTTGAATGTAAGTTCAAATATAAGTTTAAAATGTAGAAAGCTAAGTTTGGGTGAAACATCCATTGTTATAAAAATCAAAGTAGTTAAAAATTACATTTGTGTTTTCTGATAAAAACAAAGATATATTGCTTTGTTTTTGTATCACAAAGATGTTAAGAGGTACATTTGAGTTCCATTTTTTAAAAATATCAGGATAACCAATCATATCAAAGTTAGAGCTAAGACCATAAGTGAACCCTTCACTTAATTTGCCGAGTTTGGGATTATCTCAGATTTAAAATAAGCGATTTTAAAATTTATTTTATTCCTTTTTATGGGATATAAAGATGCCAAGTTAGTTCCTTTAAGTTATACAGATTCTGTCAACTGCCTCAGATGTAGAAAACTCATTCTTCATGAGAGAATGGAAGTGAAAGTATATTAGCTTCCATGTCTGGAAACTGGAGTCCTGGCTCTGGCCCTGCCTTAAAGTGTTCTCTAGGAGCCTACTGCTTAAGTACAAAATTGAGATGTAGAGTCAGTCAGCTCTGAGGTTTGCTCCAGCTTGGGAAATCTTTATATTTGTATGTAACCTATCATTTTGCCATTGAACTTCATCACCCAGTTTGAAAGTATATTTTGAACAATTAAATGAAAGGCCTTAGTAAAACTTGCAAATTCTTTGCAGCTAACCTTAGCAATTGTGTTAATGCCTTGCTATTTAAATGAGTTCAAATAATTGTCGGCAAGCCAGGTGAATTCTCCTGTCACTTTCCTGTTGTGTTACGAACCTAGCTTTGAAAAAAAATTAATTCCTTTTTAAGTGTAAGAACACTTTGAGAAGCGAATACATTGGCAGGTGGTTATGCTGAAATATCTTAAGATTAATTCTGTAGGGACAGTTCTGGCCTGGTCGCTTTGATTGAGACGAGCGTTCCGCGATCAGTTATCCCATGCTGCACCGCCTTCTCTTGCTGTTGTTAAGGACTCATGGGACACTCCTTTGTACCTTTCATAGATGCAGCGGACATGTCAATGCAGTTTGAAGTGAGTGGCCTCCACCCAGCTGGTGACATGTCTCCCTTGGGCGCGGCTGCAGCCGCTCTTCCTGACGGATCTTTCTCCTCTCATTATTCAAGTAAGTTTTCCTTGGTGGTAACTACAGGTAGTATGATGGCTACTGAATGCCAGTCTGTGTGTCTGTAAGTTATTTCATGTATTATGGGAGTGTACTTATTGTAAGCTTAAGTTATTCAAAGTCTTAAGGTTGGGGTGTTAGCAATGTTAATGACATTTCTGAAGTAATTTCCAATCTGAACATATAAAGAGGAGAAAACTGTGACGGAAAGTCTTCTCATTTATTCTTCCCGGACCAATGGCTTTTAATATGTTTTGCTTGTCCCAAGTCTGACAGAGCATTACCTTTCTGCTTAAGACATTTTCGCAAAAACCATTCCATCTTGAGAAATTATAGTGTAACAATGAAATAAATGGTGGTTAATACCCATATACATCTTCAGTGTGTTGCCTCTGTCCTGTTAGTAAAACTAACATTTCCTGCCAGGGACTTGGAACGGGGCAGAGCAAAAACCTTTGAAGTCCTCTGGTGAACCTGTGAGTTTGTCTCTTAGCATTGCTGGGGGGAAAGTTTAGCCAGAAGAGAAGGGCAAGCAATACGCTCTGTGGGTTGACATTGAGTTAAACCAGTGGCATGTGGGGACTTGTGCTTTGAGCTACAGGGATTAGACAAATAGTTAAAGCCCAGAACAATAGATGTAAGACAAACACACATGGTTGTGACAAGGCAGGTACAAAATACTGTGTGAATGTGGTGGTGGAGAGGTAACTGTCACTTTAGGAATAGGGAGGACCTCACTGAGGAGGAGGCACGTAAGTGTGGGCTTCCTCAGGGATACAGTTTTATGGGAGAGGTGGGAGGAAGGGAGTGTCAGTTTAGGGAGAGAGCGAAAGCAAAGCACAGAGCAAGGGAGGTGCATTTGGATTCAGCCAGCAGTGAGTCGGCTGCTTAAGGTGCATTGTTCCCAGTGCAGAAGTAGGGTGCTATAGCAAATCAGGCCAGAAAGAAAAAGGTAGATTTTCCTGAAAGATCCACCGGAGCACATACAGCAACAGAAATCCAGGTCTTCTCTTCAGGAAGTGACAGGCACTGATGAAGGTGGGTTGCTTGAAGGCAGAGACTGATGTCAGGGAGAGCACACTGACTAGGTTATTTTAGCCGCATCTGTCTAGGTAAATGGTGAGAGGGACTCTAATTGCAGCAAGGTGGGGAGTTAGAGCCTATAAGCCCTGGTGGCTGAGTGAATGTAGTATAGATAGGCATGATTAAAAGAACAGCAATGGTAACTTCAGGTATAAAGTTGATGCTGTGGGATTTCCAAGTGTTGATGGCAGGGAACTAGCCACAAACATGGATGAGGCTGGGGGAGAGACTAGAGAAAGAGCTGTAGGAATAATCAGATAATCAGGGCAGAGCCGATAGCTGAAACCCCAGGAAAGGATCAGCCCAGAGGAAGTGGGGAATGATGGCGACCTGATTAGGGGGTGAAGAGGCAGGGAGCTGGTTTTGTACTGGGTGGGAGAGGTTTGAGTGCCCTTGTGGGTGTCGGGAAGAGTTATAAATTAGGAACTAATGGTTAATTCAGAATCCTAAATAGCGTTACAGAGATTACAACCTATTGTGGAGGTAGAAATGCAGGGCGGAGGAAGGAGAAGGGGTGAGGAGGATAAAGAAATGTCATATGGAGAGTACGACAGTTGAAGTTCGTGATAAGGATGACTTGTGTTCATCTCAGTAAAGCAAAAGGCGATGCCATGCCAGGAGTGGGGTTGGGGGCTGCCAAACCATGAAGTTGGATCAGCAGGCCAATGCAGTCAACAGAACCGAGCAGGTGCACCTGCACATGATTCCTGCATTTGTTGGAAAAACGGATGCTGGAAGCTACATGTTCTTTATTTTCTGTCCCTGTAGGCGCAGATGAGAAAGAAGTTGGAAAACAGAGTGAAGAAGAAAGAATTTGGAACCTGCTGAAAGAAGAAAAGCAGAAAGAAGAAAAAAGGCAGAGTGAACAGAAAGCTTTGGAAAAGGAACGAAGAGAACTAGAAAAACTGGATCAAGAAAGGGTAATAACTAGAGTTCAGTTCTCCATGTTAGTTTTTGCATGGTACACCTTAGTGTGAGTCCTTAGTGTCCCCTAAAGACATAGCAGTAGGTAACTTTCAAAAAGCCTGCTGCAGGCATCCTGATCCTCTTCTGTGCTTAAGAGCACTGAGAAGGGGAGCTTTGCAAGCCTGTGTGCATGCATTCTCAACTGGTCCTGAAAACACCTGGACAGGGGGTGCACTCTGCTTTGCTGTAGATCTTTCCTGGTAAGGGAGTTTCCAGGTTAGCTGGCTGGGACCAGAGGAAACTCGGAAGGTGGCTTTTTCAGGCTGCCTTCCTCCTCCCTCCTGATTGTCTTTGCTCTTCTATGTCCGGATTCTGTCCCTACTCTGCCACTTCACACGCCTGCTGGACCTTACATAGATTAATCTCCCGTATCATGTTCCTTCAACTCCTGGTTCAGTAGGTCTAGAGCCATGGTCGGCACACTGCGGCTCTTTGGCCTCTTGAGTGTGGCTCTTCCACAAAATACACAGCATGGGCGAGCCTATTTTGAAGAAGCAGCGTTAGAAGGAGTTTAAAGTTTAAAAAATTTGGTTCTCAAAAGAAATATCAATCATTTGGCTCTGAGTTTGCCTACCACTGGTCTAGAGCACAAGACCCTTTAGGCAAAGTAATCCCATCTTTCATTATATGATTTCCTGTCCCCCTTTGATGCTAACAATGATTTCAATGAAAAAAAAAAAAGGAAATGGTTTTCTGGCGTGTACATTTTACATAAAAGATCAGAGTTATAGTATTAAGTGTTTTTTAAAATGTATGAGTGTATTTCCTATTTTGTTGCCCAAAATTTGACAGCAGCTAATTGGAGAGTCTTTGATGACTGAAATGGAGAAAGAATCAGAAGAGAGTGTTGAAGAAGAAATAAAAGACAAATCTGCTTGTGGTGAAAACGCTTTAGAGAAATATATGAAAATCATCCAAGAGGACCAAGACCTGAAGAAGGTGGATAACAAGGTACTGATGCTGTAAACCGGAGGTCTGTGGGTGGGGGCGCGAGGGCTTCTGTGGTTTGTTAGAAAACTTTGGGATCAGAGTCTGCCTTCTCTATCCCATTGTACGCCCATAAGCGTCTGTGGACATAAGCGGTGAACCTTCCCCACATGCCATACACATCTGTAGAAGATAAATGTTTTCCCTAAGTGATAGACAGCTTGGCCAACTTTAAAATCATTGTTTTGTGAGAATTTTCAACTGAAAATATTCAAGAACACCTGAATTATAATATATTTATTTTATAGTATTCATGGCAAATTGATTTCTTAAATTAAATTCAAAATATCGTGGTGTTTTGGACGTGTGGCAGTTAACTGGCTATTGGAGACAAAAAGGCATAAGGCAGCCGAAACCGGTTTGGCTCAGCAGTAGAGCTTCGGTCTGCTGACTGTAAGGTCCCAGGTTCGATTCCGGTCAAGGGCATGTATGTTGGTTGCAGGCACATCCCCGGTAGGGGGGTGTGCAAGAGGCAGCTGGTCGATGTTTCTCTCTCATCGACGTTTCTAGCTCTCTACCTCTCTCCTTTCCTCTCTGTAAAAAAATTAAATAAAAAATATATATTTTTAAAAAAGGCATAAGGCAGAGAAAATCCAAAGTTCAAATGTAGCCTCGAGTCTCTTAAGGCCATTATATTCTTGACAAAATTTTATCGCTTTTGCTTGGGTAAAAGACGGAACAGATCTTGGTTTGTCCAGCTTTGTAAAGATTGAGATGTCTCATTATTTTCAGAACAAGAATGAAATTAATGAAACTATCAGTGAATAACGAATAACATTGGTACTAAGATAAGTCTGGAATACTATGGCTATTGAGAATGTACATGGGATAGTTTGAGCTTGCTAAATTTCATGTCTAAAAGTCACCTTTTGAACCCTTAAATTATATTTCAGAAAGTTTTTACAGAGATATCAGAAGTGTTTAATAAAATTAATACATTAATACATACCTAATTTCAAAATTATTCTTCCCCCTCTTTATCAGAGCTCAACAAAGAGTGTTGGAGAAAGCTCACCAGTGGACATGCTGCCCTCTAGTGACAAAGATGAAAGGTATGCTTTCCTTACCATAGTGTTCTTACCCAAACCATTATCAGCCAGATTCTGGCTTTGTCAGCCAAGGGCACCATTCAGATGTAGTCTGCCTCTTAGAAATTATTGAGCTAATCAAATTACTAACTTCAGAACAAACCTGTTGTATTTTGAAGTTGTGATATTGCTACTGATACAAACTAAGTGAGGGCAGAAACCCCACAGGGAAGGAATAGGAACATTAGAAAGGTCCCCGAATGAACTGACAATTTAACAAATTTTTGTCTTTCCCTAATTTAGTTTCCCAGGCCTGTCTCACGAAGAACCAGATGACTTTTGGTAAACACATGTGTTGCCCAGCTTCTTTCTCATGTAACACAATAAAAGGCCTATGTTCTCTGTAATAAACAGAATTCTCAATAAAAATTGTTTGCATAATCCAGCGTGGTTGTTGTTTTTTTTTTTCTTTTTCTTTTTCTTTTCTTCATTTTATTTGGTACTCTACTGTATAAACCAAAAATAATCTAGTTAGGAAATTCCTTTTCAGAATTTCTAATTCTTAGGCCTTTCATTACACTAGAATGAGCTGCTAAGGGGTTTTTCCCTGTTTTTGTGTTAGATTTTATTTCTTTGAAAACTTATTGGTCAAATTCTAATCTTGCATTTTGGAAGTTTCTTCTGTCTTTTCTGCTCTCCAGAGTTGGGCTACTACCTGTCAAACTGAAGGCCTTCCTCCCCAGCACTATCCTTTTGCTTTGTACCTGAAAATAAAGACACAGGCTTTCCATTCTAGCTCCAGAAATCGTATTGTGCACTGGGCTTTGCTCTGACATCTTTGTCTTGAGAATGAACCCAAACCCTGAGATGGTAAGAAGAGAAGATAACATTTACTGGCATTACTGTGTGCCAGGTACGCTGTAAACCTGTACCTGTGTTAACTCAATGCTCATATCAGCCATATGAAGTGTCCACATTTTACAGATTAGGGAACGTGGTGCACAGAGGTTAGAGACTTTGACCAAGGTCTTGTGACCGTCCAGTTGTGTAGCCATGACCCAGGTGTTGAGACCGGCACTGCCTCTATTCTGGGCTGTGCTGGAGCTGCTCTCATAGAAGACATCCCAGGACCTAGGATGGCTCAGCCACTAGCTGCTTCTCTCCAGGATATCCTTTAGAAACTTCACCCAAATCAAGGTAAGTGCACTCAAAGGCAGCACCAGCATAGCTTCCACACTGGTAAGAGGAGACCCATTTGCTGCTGCCCCTATTTTTTCATCTTCGTACTCTTGCAGCTCTCAGTCCAGCAATTTGCTGTGGGAGCATCTGGAAAGTTTTTTAATGACACTGCCGTCACCTAAAGCGCATCCAGGAGTGCTCTGAGGATGAAAAACCATCCCAGCTTGCCTGGACTAGGGCATTGTGGGAAGCACAGGACCTGGTTGAAAAGTGTAAGGAGGGTTCTCTGAAAGGTTGGAGGCCTCTAGGGGATTCTTGCCAAAGGCAGCAGACCCTGCCTTGACTTTCCAAACAAGTCCAAGCCCCTGGGTGTTTTATTGAAATCTTTATATTTATACTTCAAAACATCCTTGTTTTTTTTTTATTTTTTTATTTTTTTTTACTAAGGTATTACATGTGTACATACCTTACCAATCCCCACCCCCACTCCCAAACATGCCCTCCCTCCCCATAGTTTTTCCTCCATTGGTTATGCTTATATGCATGCATACAGGTCCTTTGGTTGATCTCTTATCTCCCCAATATCTCGCTACCCTCCCTGCTATAATTTGACAGTCTGTTTCTTTTACTGTCTCTGTATCTATCTTTTTGTTCATCAGTTTATAATGTTCCTTATTATCCATAAATGAGTGAGATCATGTGTTGTTTTTCTTTCATTGACTAGCTTATTTCACTCAGCATAATGTTCTCCAATTCCATCCAGGTCGCTGCAAATGATAAGAATTCCTTTTTTATGGCAGCATAGTGTTCCATTGTGTAGATGTACCATAGTTTTTTGATACAATCATCTGCTGACGGGCACGTAGGCAGTTTCCAAATCCTAGCTATTGTAGATTGTGCTGCTATGAACATAGGGTGCATATGTCTTTTTTGATTGGTGTTTCTAGTTTCTTAGGATATATTGCTAGGAGTGGGGTTACTGGGTCAAATGGGAGTTCCATTTTCAGTTTTTTGAGGAAACTCCATACTGTTCTCCGCAGTGGTTTCACCAGTCTGCATTCCCACTAGCAGTGCACGAGGGTTCCTTTTTCTCCGCAACCTCGCCAGCACTTGTCGTTTGCTGATTTGTTGATGATAGCCATTCTGACAGGTGTGAGATGGTATCGCATTGTCGTTTTGGTTTACATCTCTTGGATAATTAGTGACTTTGAGCATGTTTTTATGTGCCTCTTGGCCTTCCTTCTGTCTTTTGAAAAGATTCTATTTAGGTCCATTGCCCATTTTTTAATTGGATCATTTATCTTCCTTTTATTAAGTTGTATAAGCTATCTGTAAATGTTGAAAAATATGGAACGCTTCATGAATTTGGGTGTCATCCTTGCGCAGGGGCCATGCTAATCTCTGTACTGTTCCAATTTTAGTGTATGTGCCACCCCAATTTTAGTCTATGTGCTACCGAAGCGAGCACAAAACATCCTTGTTTTATCAAAGACACTACAAATACATTTTCTCAAAAATACCCTATTAACATCTAAGATTAATTTTAATTCAAACCATTGCTACAATAAAAGCTTAAGGAGACAGGCAAACGAGGCTAGGAGACTGGCGAATGAGGCTATCTGATTCCCTTAGCCCCCTCTTTCACAAAAACATGTCAAGAAATAATCATTTCTTTGTCACTCAGGATCTGCTGGTCAGTCCCGGCAGGGCATTTCCCGGGACATGAGACTTTCAATGCTAACTGATGACCATCCAACTCTTAATACAGGAAGGATTCGTCTGGTCAATACTTCCAGGAAAATCCTAGAGCTGAACATTTTCCTTTACGAATACGAGCTGGGCTGAATTGTTAGTGCAGTGATACTTGTCTGGCCCTTTAAGTTCTATAAGATAGTGGTTGCCTTTCAAATCTTTGCGATTGTCCACACCTTCTTTGTTCCTGGTGCTGCCCAGTAGTTGAGGTTGTGTCTAGACTGTCAGTGCTCCAATGGGGACGATCACAGTCAGCACCTAGGTACGGTCTGATTGGGAGCCAGACTCTGACAGTGCCTGGGAAGGTGTACAGTAGTTCCCTTTATCCAGTGTGTCCCTTTCTGCAGATTGTTACCCATGGTATGAAAACAGTAAGATGGGAAATTTTAGAAATAATTTGTAAGTTATAAATTGCACTTCGTTCTGAGTTGCGTGTTGGAATCTCACACCCTTCTACCTGGGATGTGATTCCCCCCTTTGTCCAGCGTCACCTTGCTGCATGTGCTACCTGCCCATCAGTCACTTAGTAGCCATCTCAGTTATTAATCGACTGCCCAGGTAGCACTGTACATGTGTTTAAGTCACCCTTATTTTACTTAATGCCCCGAAGACATTTACATAACTTTTGTTACAGTATAGTGTTATAATTGTTCTACTTTATTATTAATCATTGTTAATCTCCTATTGTGCCTAATTTGTAGATTAAGCCTTATCCTTGATATGTATAGAAAAAAATAATGTTTGGTACTATCTGGTTTCAGGCATTCACCGAGGTTCTTGGAATGTATCACTTGCACAGAAGGTTAGACTTCTGTAGAACTCCTGGGACAAACTGGGAGATACATATTTTTGCCTGCTCCCTCTGCATTTGGCCTGGTTGTATAGCTGTGGGTGTGTGGTTTTACCCCTGGTAACTGCTTTGTTTGCTACAGTCTCGTGGGACTTGTGAGTGTAATCCCTCTTGGCTGTCAGGCAGGCAGCCCGGGGACCTGACCCTTGAGTGGCTGCTGCTAACACTGGGCAGAGGTGTGTACATAAGCTTTTTTCTCGAAGATCCTGGTGATTTGGAGCTGGTGGGGGGGGGCATCTTGGCTTCTCTAGTCTCTAGGGAGGATGGCACTTGGACCCTAGATGTGTACTAAATTAGAAAGAAGCCGGACTCTCGGGCAGCAACTTTTACTATCTTCAACTAGACCTGTTTCAAGGAAAGCAGGACTTGGTGAGTCCAGAGCTGGTTTGGAACTGTTTTCTTCATATGTTATATTGTGGGTTTTATGGCCATAAGTCCAGTTGGTCTTAAGAGTGAGGTGTTTGGGAGCTCATCTCAGGTGGGTCCTAAAAGCTGGGGCACTAGATACGGGGTGCAGATCCTTTGCTCTTCAGGAGAACCACGGGGTCAGGGGTCCCCTCCTGATTGTATGGTGGTGTGCTGGGGATGGGGGTTTATGGTGAGACCATATCTCACAGTCCTTCCTGTTTCGATAGGCCTATTTTCTTCACTGCATGTATTAAGAGTTCAGCTATTTTTTGGATTTCTTTGAGGAAAAAAAAAAACTTATGTGTATAGTGGTACATTCTGTGTATCCATGGGAGAGTGTATTTCAGGAATGTGCTTGTCACCATATTGGACCAAAACCCCCAGACAACTTCTTAATACTTTATATTATTCAGTTTTCTCCCTGTCTTGTATTTTCAAAGCCCTTATTTAAATAGCTCATTGTATACTTTGCTTTCTATTAATAGCTTGGGGTTTGGTACCTTCATTTTCTCAGTCAACTTAAATTCTAAGCATTTTCAATACTCGATCTCAAGGCAGATTTAATTTAAAGAAAAGTAAGTCATTTCTCATGTAGCATTTCAGATGGCACATTACCTAGAATGCCTAAGAATATAGATTTCAAGATGCAAGACCCCCTGTAGCTGCCCCTGCTGCTGCCTCCACTGCTTCTGCCTCCCCAGGACCCCGAGTCTCTGTTTAAATCTTCCCCAGGTGGGTACAATGATGTTTATTATATATATGATACATATATATTTCATACATATTTAACATTCATGTGAGAGTGAAACCAGTCAACTGCCTCCTGCATGAATCCTGTCTAGGGGATCGAACCTGAGATCTTTTGGTGTATGGGACAATGCTCCAATCAACAGCCTTATCAATCAGGGCGCAATAGTTTAAATATCAAAACACTGAGGAAGATTAGTGGGGCAGTTTAGAAAAAGAAAGTTCTTTGTCAAACCTGACTTTCATTTGCATTTTTTTAAAAATATTTTTTTATTGATTTTGTACAGAGAGGAAGGGGGAGAGAGAGAGAGCTAGAAACATCGATGAGAGAGAGTCATCGATCAGCTGCCTCTTGCACACCCCCTACTGGGGATATGCCCGCAACCAAGGTACATGCCCTTGACCGGAATCGAACCCAGGTCCCTTCAGTCCCCAAGCCTACGCTCTATCCATTGAGCCAAACCGGTTTCGGCTCATTTGCATTTTTATTTCCTCAAAACTTTCTGTAGTTTTATTTATCCTAAATATTTATTTTGAAAAGTTATATCTTTAATTTTTTACAAACATCTGGGAACAAATTAGCCTGTTTGTAAAAATATCTTTTTACAAGTATCTGGTAACAAATTAGCCTTGCGCTAGCTAGAGAAAGATGCCATTGTTTAGGAAAAGATATAAATAGCCAAGTGGATTGTCTCTTAAATTTTCTAATATTGTGGCTAGCATAGCATTAAGTCCTAAAAGGAGTTTTTTTTTTTCCCCCAAATTTTTATTGTGGGATTTTTCATCCTCATTTTTTAGTAGACAAAGTATTTTTGCTTGCTGGCTTTTCTTTTTCATGATTATTCTTTTTTTTGTTTTGTTAATCGACATCCAAAAATATTTTTTCATTGCTTTTGTTTTAAAAGAGAGTGGGAGGAGTGGAGGGGGAGAAAGAAAAAAAGAACATTGATGTGAGAGAGATACATGGATTGGTTGCCTCCTGAACACACCCTGATTAGGACTGGGGATTGAACCTGCAACCCAGGTACATACCCTTAACCGGGAATCAAACCTGCGACCCCTCTGGTGCACAGGCTGACACACTAACCATTGAGCCCACTGGGAAGGCACTTGTTGGGTTTTTAAATGAGGGAGCCCCTCTCCTAAAATTTTGACTTAAAAGTTAATTCACAAGGTATTGCTAGAGAAATGGAAACATTGCTCCATCTGCTAAAGGTTTTCACATTTGTGGCAAGTAACAGTTTTAGCTCTGCTGCTTTAGAAAGTACTGTTAGCTCTAGCCCTGGCTGGTGATTCTCTGTGGTTAGAGCATTTGCCCTCGGACTGAAGGTTCACTGGTTCCATTCATGGCCAAGGGTACATACCTGGGTTGCATGCTCGATCCCTGGCCCCAGTCCGGGCAACCAATGTACCTGTTTGGGAGGCAACCAGTGTACCTGTTTCACATCAGTGTTTCTCCTTCTCCCTCCCTCCGTTCTTTGTAAAAATTAAAGGAAAAAATATCCTCAGGTGAGGATTAACAAAAAAAGAAAAAACACTAGATCTTTTTAAATATTCCCCAATAAATCTTTCAGTAGATTTTTATACTCCAGGTTTGTAAAATAGCCAATGACATATGGACTCTTATACAGATGGTTCTTATACTTGCCCCTAACTTCTTAAGTATTGTATTCATCCTATAGGTATATTGTTTTCATTTATTGAAGCCAGTCAGAAAATATCTATATTTCTCACAACGAACTGTAAAATGTTAATGGTACTTTATGTAAAATAAACCCTAGTGGATGAGTCATTTTCTCAAATTGATCCCCCCTTAAAAAAGATTTGTCAGAAATGAAACATAGCTGGATTTCATACGTATGTAAAATCTTGATCATGCATACTATTTAAAAATGACACCATACTGAAGACGGAGAAAGAGAATACTTAGGTATGTCAAAAGGCAACTGAATGAAGCTATAATTTTATTTCATTTCTCTTAGTACATCCACAACTATTTCCACCTAAATAGATCTTTAAAATAAGCATACACAAGTATTGACTATTATCTACAAATATTTATTATAACACTGGAATAGAACTACAGGAAGCCCTTGGCACTGATAGAAAATATTGATTCACTGTTAGGTTACAAAAATTTATACATAGCAAAATTTAATGCTCTTTACATAAAAAATATTAGACCACTTAAACAAAACTCTCAAACATTCTTGGTAGTAGCCACCAGAATTAGAAGAGTCAAATTAGGCTTTAGACACCGCTTCTATAGAACACTGGACTCTAATGGCACCTGCACTGCCGGAGGAAACATTGAAGTCTGCCATGCAACAGAAAGCACATCACCAAGCTAGTCCGGAACAACCGTTACACGGGGGAGAGCTGCTCCCACTGAAAAAATAGTCAAGGTCCAAATAGGCATGTGTAGGCATTAACAACCACAACTGAAAGAATCCAAATGAAATATACTTGATGTTCAATTTTAATAGCATATTGATAAAGTTATGCTTCCTTTCATTGCAATACAGTTCTGCACATGTATATGCTTTAAAATCCAGGAAAACAGCCAAACCACAAGTTAATTCTTAACATGAATATACATAGTTAACCCTATATTATGCAGTCCCCTTTAAAAAGCACGGATGCACCCAACAGTTATATGTATCATTTAATAAAGAACAACACAAAGTTTACCATCACTAATATCCAATACCTATAGTCACTTAATGTTCTGGTACACAATGATTTAAAAGGCAAGTTTCTTCTGAAAATGGCTTAAACTGAAGCAGTTGATTTTTTGCTGAACATGGAACTTTGATTATTCCAGGAAACAGATTTAGATAAGAAAAAGTGAAATAAATACCTACCCTAATTTAAATTACGTACGTATTCAAGTCTATAAAAGTAGGAGGTCTGTGGTCTATTTGTAATTAGGTTTTAGATAGTTGGTATGAAACTGTAAACTCACTTTTCAGACCACATAGAAATGGTTTGGAATGGTGGTCATTTTAATAAGGTAACACTTCTTAATTAAAAATGTTTGTGGAAAAAAATTCTGTGAAGGATTTTGGATCGCCTGTTGTGATGCAAGTTCTTAGAAATTTACAGCAAATACTCATTAAGGCTGAGCTGAAATTTACTTCCCAAGAAGAATGATAAATGGGTCATTTTATTAAAATGAAGTCTTTTATAAAATTGATTCTGGAAAGCTTGTCAAGAATTCAGTTTCTGTAATGGTAGTTCTAGCAAAATTATAGTAGCACATTTGAGCATTATTGAAAAAAGATTTCTGATTGGATCATAAAGTTAAGGTATCCTAATCAGTTGTAAGAATCATATTATCTTTATGAAGCCACTGTTTAATAAATGTTGGCTTAAGAAATGGAACTTCATACCAATTCCATTTTATTCTCTTATTAGGTACATCTGACATACGTGAATTTATGGTCCCATACCTTGGTGCTGGCACATCATGGGCTCCTATCAAGGTGTGTGCCATATTCTCAATTCCTATCATAGTAGGATTGCTCTAGCAATAAATGTGAACATACCACAAATTTCAAAAAGATTAACAATCATTTTGTCAGTGTTGCCTTTTAAAATGGCTAACCATGAAACCTCCTGTATCTGTTCTAAAGGAAAAGGTTTACCTACTGGAGGGTTTTCCTAGAGATACATCCCAGCAGCTTGAGATAGACAGTGAAGTGTTTGTAGTTCTGCGTGAGTTTGTTTGGTGGGAAACACATCTGTACTGCGGAGCAGCTGTCTGATGATTTGTCACAGCTGTCAATGTATCGGCGGAAGCACTCTGGCAAACGTTTATGTATAAGAATTGAGTTGTTCTTTTGAGCGGGACTGGATATCTTGCAGTTCCTGTTCTTCCTTTGCTTTGATATCCTGGTAAGCCTGCATTTTGCTGGCATCCTTTAAGTAAGCCCAGTTAGAAGACAGTATCATGAGGAAGTGGATCTGGAAAAGAAGGGTGAGCATGATGGCTAGTGAGCATGTCAGAGGCAAAGCAAGCTGCTAGGCAGATTAGACGGACTTGACTGTAAGAAAGGGGGAGGGTTATTCCATATTAATACTCATTCTGCAATCAGAGGCATCAGATACTGAGAGCATGTTCTAGTAGAGTCAATATTAAAAGGCAGAAGAAAAGTTAGTATCCAGACATAATGCACTTAAAAAAATAGTCAAAGTTATTAAGAAAAGGCAAAACTAAAACACATAGAGGGTGCTTTTTACCATTTTGAGAGTAATTTTAAAAATTGATACAGAAGTTCAGAAATGTTATTTTCAAGTAAGTGTGGTGCAAAGATCTTTGCTATTGGACAAAAAAATCAATTACCCCAAAGGCCTAAAATTCTGAACAATGTTTATTTTTAGTAAGTAATAAAAAGCTACATATTTAACACAGAAAAATTAAGTGAATATCAAAACCAAACTTAAGAACTATAAGCAAAGCATGCAGTCTCTGTTAACAAATTTTTAGTAGTAAAACTACATTTTTCATTTTATAACTGCCATTATTTCATTCCAAAAATGTAAAAATCCATATTGGCATTCTTGATAGTTGATGTGGTCAACACTCCTCCCCACACACTTATTTTCCTCATCTTTCCTGCAAAATCTACATCTCAAGTTCCTTATTATTTCCTTCTCAACATACTTGAGACCTTCAGATCCAGGAACAGTTTCTCTTCCCATTAAAATCTTAGGTGTGCCTGGCTGGTGTAGCTCAATGGTTAAGTACTGACCCATGAACCAGGAGATCACATTCCCTGCTTACGTGCTTGATCCCCAGTACAGGGGGTATGCAGGAAGCAACCAATATATGATTCTCTCATCATTGATGTTTCTATTCCTTCCTTCCTTCCTCTCTCTAAAATTAAAAAAAAAAAGAAAAATCTTACGTGCAGTTTGAGAACTGGCTTTGAGGAATCAGTTACTACTTACCAAACAACAACTTAAGGTTATCAATTTTGTGGGCTCTGAAAAGAAGGATATGGTTATGTTAAAAAAAACAAACACAAAAACACATAAATCCTTTTTTCAGAGAAAACAAATGGGTGGCATTTATTTTACTTTAAATTTGCACCTGACTTATTTGAGGAGCATTTATTTGATAGTGAACCATGCAATCATAAAATTTAAATCAAATTTAAAATATATTTATAAAATATTTTTCAGAAGGTGTCTGACAAAATAAAATCCAGACTAAGTTTTTTTCCATTTCATCTTCGGCACTGTGTTCATTTTTGCCATTGAACTTGGTTACCAAGCCAGTAAAAATAACGGAAAATGCAGGTATTTTAGTTTTAATACTTCACTTAGCAATATTGTTTAAAGTTTTAAAGAAAATTAATTTTTAATGGGTGCTGAGCAATGTCAGTAAATAACTGAATCCTTTTCAAAATGTGGAAATAGCCAGATCTCATAATTTTGTAATTCACGTACGGTAAGTCATCTTATTAACCTCCCATGCAGAATGAGTCGACTAAAACTATTTACAAATTACTGGTGCAAAACTGCAGAAGCCTAGATTCTGCTTTAGTCTGGGTGTCAGTGATGTTCCTGCTACATCGTACAGCTCTCTAATGCTCCTTATGGGCCTCATGCAACTTAGAATTTAGTGCAGCAATCTTCCCGACTCTTAAACTTCAAAACCGCATAGTTATATGTAGTAGCCATCATGTAGATCAGCTGGTGGAAGAGAACAAAACAGGACAGTAAGATATAGGCAGTGAGGGCCAGTGCCACGACACTTCTAAACTTGGGCAGGGAGGGGTACCAACTCAGCCCACGGTGTTTTCCCATTTATAATCTCCACAGGCGATTCTCAAGTCTAGCGCACACAAACCTTTTCTCATTTCACTTACACCATATCTGTCTTCAGCTTGGCACTCGGTATGTTTATTAAAAAGACTAGGGCGTGTTTAAAGAATGACAAGATACAGTTCTGGGTCAATAGCATCCGATGAAGCTAAATGCTCTGTTTCCCGTCATCCTTCCAAAACACACTACTCAGGAGCAATTGGTCCTTTCCTGTCTGTTAAGCTGAGAGAGCTGGCAGCAGCCCAGAAGATGGGTCACACTGTGAGTTAACAGGCACTTTCTTTCATGGGCTGTCATGGGAAGGGATGACTTCAGGGATGGAAAACCTGGGAATGCTCATTTCTGAGCTGATGAGATGTCCCCCTTGCTTCACTAATCTTAGATTTCTTAATCACAAACCGAGCCCTCCCAAAGTACATATCAGTGTGCACATACATACATGTACACCTGCTTGTGTTTATACAGTTAATCATTATTCACAGATGCCATATTTTCGAATTTGCCTACATACTAAAATGTCCTTGTAACCCTCACATCAGCACTCCTAGCACTTCCACCGTATTTGTGGACATGTGCAGAGGTGAAAAAGTCTCGTCTCCTAGTGGAGGTTAACCAAAGTGACACTGCCTTCTTTGTTCCAGCTCTGTCTGAGCACAAGTGTCCTTTTTGCAATGTTTAGTGCCATGTTTTTTGCATTCTGTGACTTCATTCTTTAAATATTCCCTGATCCAGGTGCTGTGTAGTGTTTTTAAGTGAAGGAAGGTTGTGAGACGCCTTCTGAAGATGTATGTACTGAATGAGTTTCATTTGGGTATGAGGCATAGTGCTGTTGGTCGGGAGTTCAATGTTAATAAATCATGTCTTTGCCCTAACTGGTTTGGCTCAGTGGATAGAGCGTTGGCCTGTGGACTAAAGTGTCCCAGGTTCGATTCTGGTCAAGGGCATGTACCTTGGCTGTGGGCACATCCCTAGTTGGGGGGGTGTAGGAGACAGCTGATCGATGTTTCTCATCGATGTTTCCAACTCTATCCCTCACCCTTCCTCTCTGTAAAAAAAATCAATAAAATATATATATTTTAAAATCATGTCTTTGAACAGAATCATACAAAGCAGGCTTCTGTATTAGATTGGTCTGACAAAAACTGTTGTGACCAGAGGCTGGCAGAAACCTAATCCTATATTCCCCCAAGGAGCAATGGCTCTATGTTTGTTAATTGGGTGTTGAGAATACTTTATTAAGCATACCTTATGTGCACAAGATCAAAGGTGCAAGTGTATATGTATATATGCACATTTCCTCCTGTGACCATTTACCCATACTTGAAGTCATGAAAGTAAGAGCTGAATAAACCACATTGCAGTGTTCCCATCCTAGTTAACAGGTGTTCCAGGATCAGTACCCTCTCTTCTTTCCACAAAATGCAATTTATATCACCTACAATTGGTGCCAGGACAGCCAACTAGTACACCCTGTGATCTAGACACATGGTAGGTTTACACAGGTGATGTTTAACCCACCTTGAGTCTAGGAGTGTTTCCTGGAAGGGAAACCTGTTGTTACAGACACTGCTGGGAGGGGGAGCTAGACCAGGCCAGTCCTTGGGCCCTTACTCACCAGGGCAATGACGGTGGCACCAGCTCCGGCACAGGCCACAATGAACAGGTGATAAGACATGTAGAACTAGGAAAGAAGAGGGCACCAACATGAGCATTTTGTGTGTAATGAAGTGGCCTACTCCCGTTCCGACATGCTACATCCTCTCTGTTTTCCCAAGGCTGGAGATAAGTGTGCACTCGTGTCCAGCCCAGTTGGAATCACCTGGTGGATTTTTAAACTTTCTGATGCACACATGGGTAGTGGTCCTCAACCTTCCTAATGCCGTAACCCTTTAATATAGTTCCTCGTGTTGTGGTGACCCCCAACCATAAAATTATTTTCGTTGCTACTTCATAACTAATTTTGCTAGTTATGAATCGTAATGTAAATATCTGTGTTTTCCAATGGTCTTAGGTGACCCGGCTAGCGGCTCTCAACCTGTGGGTTGTGATCACTCTGGAAATGTGTAAATGACTAATTTGATTTACAAACTTTTGACTTACATACAAATACAGGGACACTTCCCCCTGAAAATTAATTTATACCTGTTCTGTGACAAATGTTCTAATTTGAAAAACTATCTGAAGGTGAAAGAGAATGTATAGTTTCAGATTTGCAAGATTGGGGTCACTTCCAAATTGTTACAGAAAGAGAAAGCTTTCTGATTGCTATGATCCTCACTGAAAAGGTGGATCGAGTGGAAGAGCCATCTTTTAGGTCACAAGTGGTTGGGTACTGATTACACACAGTTCACTCCTTAAAAGTCTGCAAAAAAGTCTGTCTTGACAGCATTTGAGCCATCCCTCAGGAGAATGGACTCTGTTTTGCTGTGATCATCTGTGAGCCTCTGACAGGAGAGCGGGTTACCTCGTTGGTGTTGCAGATGTTCTCGAGGGCAGAGCCGCATATTTTTCCTGGGAAAGCGTTCCAAGGAATGATACCTGTGAAGTGAGGCCCAATAGAGAGGGAGGCGTTAGGGCAGACTTCGGTGCTTCCTGCTCCCCGTCCTTACCGCTTTGGGAGCCAATCACAGTACAGTTGTTGGTCATATTCTTCATCAATAACGAGCATACCTGCCCTCTGCAAAACAGGCTTTTGGAATCATTAAGTCCCAATTGCACTATAGGGCATGAGTAAAGTCAACTAGTCTAAGAGACTTAACCTGATACTATTTTTCTACAATTATGCTTTGTTTAGTTGAGCTGATATCTGTAAAAGTTGATTTTCAAAATGAAGTTTTCCCTCCTATGTATCTGGATTATAGTTGAGCAGCTCCAGGAGGACACCCACCCCCCTAAATGTTCCCTTGGTCTGTGATCTTGTTACTCAGGCTCTTTGTCACTGGTTTGCCATGAGATACGTTCTGACATTGAGAGTCAGTGCTCAGAAAGTTTCATGGCAGTTTGACAGTAATTTGTTTTTGTTAAGTAATTTGGACTTGTATCTTCTATGTCTTTGCTTTTATATTCATTTTATGTTTTTAAAAAATGTTTGTATTTCAGAGGGAGGATGGGAGAGGGAAAAAGAGAGAAACATAAATGATAAGAGAGAATCACTGATTGCTGCCTCCTGTACACCCCCTAGTGGGGATCAAGCCTGCAACCCCAGGCCTGTGCCCTGACCTGAAATGGATCAGTGACCTCCTGCTTTCATGGGCTGATTCTCAAGCACTGAACTATACTATAGGCTGGGCCATTTTTATTGTGTTTTACAAATGTTTTGGAAATACTTTGGGATTGAAAACACTGACCTTTATCGCAGAGAGTGTGGCCAGGGCAGTCCGTGGTCTTTCTCACTAACCCAGACTCCTCCCCACAGCGACACTGTGCACTGAGGCTGCTGCTCTTTTTTGCCATTAACGAGCAGGTGCCTGCTTAAATATTGAACTCAGCTCAATTTACACCTCCATGGGAGGTAAGGAAGGAGGGTTTTAAAGCATTCTTTATTTCCTCCATCCTTGCTGTGGGCCAAGAATAAGCCTTCATGCTTCAGAAGAATGGGAAATGACAAGTCCCTAAATTGTCAGTGGAACCGGTGATTTCAAGTATAGACTAAAAAGATGATTACCAATGACCAAAAGTGTGTAGTGAAAATATTTAAGAATAAGGAAATGAGATCTACATTGAGACATTCATTTACAAATACTTTAACAATCAACTTTAGGCTCTTTTTTTTTTTTTAAAGCTCTGTTTTCAGCCCATCAAAAAGAACTGTGGTTGAGTCGTGGTCTTTATGAGAAGAGATTATTAGGCTGACGGGCAATTTAAGATAAATTTCCTATTATATCATAAGGTAAGAGGCTGAGGATAAGTCACACGGGAAAAAACAAGCAACAAAAATGAAATGCTAGTCATCTCTCTCAAAGCTCTTGAAAGAACAGTTACTTCCTCTTCGGTGCTAATGAAAAGCTGTTTTCCCCTAGTTGTTTCTGCCAAGAACAGGATTTCTGCCATCCTGGCTAGAAACACTAATTAAACTCCATACATAGGGGATGTTGCCTTCTCTCACTCAGCAGGGAAATCAAGTCTCAAACTAATTGGCAGGCACAGCAATGGCCCCTTCTGTGGCATGTCAAAATGAACCAACCGTGGTTGCTTATGGGATAATCCCATTCATTTGAAAACATGTTTGAACTTGCCGGCTGTTACAGAATATGTTCTCATGGCTTTAAAATACATTTGGATTTTATGTTGTGTTTTTCAGTATAGGTGGAGTTTAAGCAATTGGTCATTTAAAAAAGACCTGCTCTGAAGAACCAGACATACAGATTAACTGCATTATATAGGGCATGCGATGTTTTGGATGGAAAGTAAGATGATACAAAACTGAAAAATTGGGAAAAAAAAGTCAACTTTTTATAGTGGACAATATTTTTTGATTCAATTGCATTATGAAGTAGCTTCTTTTGAAACCATAACAAAATATTAAATTGCACCCTTTATCAACTAAGACACTAATGATCTTTCCATTCAAAAAATGGGGCATAATGAGGGAAAAAGTATATACACCTTTCCTAAGAAAAGATATGAGAGAGATCATGATGATTAAAAATATGCCCATGCAATAAAAGGTGCAGACTTATGCATGAGAGCATAACCATTAACGGGATTAAAAGGAAGTACCGTATTGTCGGATATCCACGCAGATCTGCTCCACACCGGCTGTCCCGTTGGTCTGAGGTGACTTGATGACTTCACAAGTTGACCATATGTTGTAGAACATAAACACAGGCACCGCAGAGAAGCCAAACACACCGAGCCAGGCCACTCCCAGCACATAGGTGAGGAAGACAAACTAAACCGAAAAGGACAAAGAATTGTCAGTGACCTGGCCAAGGCGCATTCCTTGGGAGGAATGATACTGCATTTCTGACTTGATACGGAACCTGTGCGATGCATTTAAGTTAGAACACTGTCTGGTCACAGTAGCAACAAGGCAAAGTGACAAGGGCAAGGAGAACCAAGGGCTGGCAGTTGGGGCAGGGTGGTCACGCCCTCCGGAGACAGAGTATGGAAAGTGTTTATTGCCGAAGCCCAGTTAGCTGAAAGTCATTTTAACTGACAAGGGCCAGCGATGATCTCCTTTGTCTAAGATCATAGAGCTAAGGAGTGACAGAGCCTCCATGTGGCATTCTTTGGAAACATCAGTTCTGTACTCACCATAGGACAGTGTCTGGGTGGTTTCACAGGCCACTTGAATTATAACTTGATATTAATTTCCCCCAAAGTAATGTCTTTTACATAATGGATGGAATAGTAGTTATATAAGACATCCTTTCTCAAAAGGAACCTCACTAGTTTCATGATCCTGTGAAATTACTAAAAGCATTAGATCTTGAACCTGTATTAAATAAGTTTAAAATAGCCTTGAACACAAATTGAATGCACAGTGAATCTGATCAAATTCCCATTTCCCCTGAGTTGTTTTCATCTTTAAGATTCACAGTGCCTCTGCAAGCAAAGCCCTGGCTTAGGACAAAATTACGGTGTTCACCCCCACATTGCCACACAGAATATCACGTCGCTGTAGTTACTTCCTAACCTGCCTTGACTACCAATTTTCAGAGAACTTTGAAAGGCTGTTTCAAACACATTGGGGTATTTATATTTTCCGAAGGTGCACCCACGGAGTGTGTGGGTGAAGGTTCGGAATCCTAGTTTGGCTTTTTAGTTTCTCAGGCTGCTGCTGAAGAGGTGAAGTTTCCGCCTAACTTGCCACACTGCAGGAAATACCTGGGTCGTGCCAGGCCGGCCTGGGGTCGGCTCAGACAGGTCACCTCCTGTTGGTCATCCCAGGAAACTGCAGGAACAAGGCATTTTATCTCAAGGACATTTCCACTTGGGGAAGCATTTGCATTTCTAAAAGTATTCACAACAGCAGAGTTCAGCAGTTTCACAGGCTCCCTCCCTAGTGCTTAGGGGTGGGCCACTCCAGCCTAGGCTTTCTTTTCTTGCCCTGAAAAAGAAAACTTTCTAACACACCACAAAGACTTGAAAAGGGCTGGCGATTCTTTGCTTGGTGAGCCTAGCTTTCCCACAGCGTTCAAGGCTCTCAGGATAACCGGTGCCCAGTGGAGAGGGCCTGTGGGGACATTCCTGTTTTGGTGGCCTCTAGCATTCAGAGTTTTGTCCTTAATGACAGATTGTGAGTGGCACACAGAGCCTGAAATGATCGCATTCTGGCCCTGGGCAGACATGGTTTGTTGACATCTGATCTAGAGGAGAACAGAGCTTAGAGCTCATTAAAAGACTGGGTTATAGGGCTGGTGTGGCTCAGTGGTTGCGCATTGACCCATAAGCCAGGGGTTCAGGGTTCTATTCTTGGTCAGCACATCTGCCCTGATTGTAGGCTCGATCCCCAGTGGGGAGGTGTGCAGGAGGCAGCTGATAAGTGATATTTTTAAAAAGACTAGGTTATAAAGAGCTGTATCCCAGAGGGAAATTCTAAGGGGGTTGAGTGGCTAGTACATGTAAGGCTTCAGGATCATAATCCACATTCAGGAATGAGAGCACTGATAAAATGTGCAAGTCCTCTCATTGTGGGAACTTCATATTTGGAAAATCTTCAATACCCTCATTACCTACCTTGGTAGGGGAAATGTACGTAATACTACCCCTCATACATTTTAACTTATCAATAATATGTTGAAGGTATTTTCAAATTCTGAACTCTAAGAACACTACAGGCATACCTCGGCTTAATTGCACTTCAGAGATGTGTGTTTTACAAACTGAAAGCAAAGACCCTCCAGTAGCAGAAAGATTATGACTCGCTTCATCGCGATGGTCTGGAACCAAGCCTACTGTATCTCCGAGGTGTGCCTGTATGTGTGCCATGGGCTCTCGCTGCATCCTCAGCTCATAGCTTTTCTCAGCAGCACAGTACAGAGAGGTGTGGCTTTGGCTGTGCACCAGACAATCTGAGATCCATACTCACCATTCCACTGATGCATCGGCCACAGGCGGTGGTTTTAAACTCCCCATGAAGTTCTTTCACTGCGCTCGTGGTGTAAAAGCCTTCTGCCAGCAGGATGATCCCATACAGGAAGAAAAAGGATGCAATTCCGTAGATGACATATTGCATCAGTTGGATTCTGCAGAAAGGAAGAGGAAAGCCTGAGGATTTAAGTCCACTGCCTGGGAAACAGCGTTTTCAACCTCTGGAGGGGGGGACATAGGGATGGTGTTCTGTGGCATCTCCTGCCACTCTCATGGTTGCAGTGGGCTTATGGGCATTTCGGACTGGCATCCCTGCCAACCCCACTGCATCCTGGGCCTTTTCCCCAATATGGGACCACTGTTGAGGTGTACGACCTTCCCAGACAAGGGAGACTTTTCATTCGATCAAGGGCAGAGGCCCAGGTGTAACTGGTAATATCCAAGTCCTGTGCCGTGGAGGGTTAGAATCCTCATTTTGCAAATAAGTGAAGAAAGGCATTGAACATGTTCTTTCTGCCACATCAAATGCCTCCTAACCAGGCCTACTGGTTAATGTTATTCCGATAAGGCCCCTAAGTAAGCACTCAGGGCTTCCTTAAGAAATAACTTGGGCATTTTTTTTTTTTTTTTTTTTTTTTTTTTTTTTTTTTTTTTTGCGTTGAGATTCTCGCTACACAAGAGATGTGTCAAGAGGTTTAAGATACAAAAATTAATTTACAACTAATTCTGTCCTGTGAAAGCTGACAGGGACCCAGATGACTGTTCATCAACCTTTGGCTGCTCTTTGAACTACCAGGGAGCTTTAGGAAATATGGTTACCTGGGCACTATCCCCAGAGATGATGACTTAATTGGTCTGGGGCAAATCATGGGCATGGGGAATTTTTAAGGATTCCTGGACATTTGAGAGCCATTCATCAAGTTCACTAGCTAATTAAAGCAGCACACGTTTCCCAGGGTCCGTTGCGGTACATATTCTTGGTCTTCTTTGCACACAGTTGTATTCATTAAGTCCTGTTTGATCTTCCTTATAAACTCCCCTACCTCTGGTCATTACTTTGGATGTCATTTATGAATAGATAAAAAAGAACATTCCCTAAGGACTCTTCCAACATGACTTTATTATTGAACCATAAAAATTCATTCGTGCCTTTTTCAGTCTGGTGGAGTTTTTTTTTTTTTTTTTTTTTTTTAATCACAAGACACTTAAATACTGTGAGACTTTGGAAGTCAAGGAAGGAAAAAGAAAATACTGGAGGCAATAGGGAAAACCTATGAAGTACATGAACGCACTGCTTTGGGGCTTGCACAGTGAGGAGAATCGGTGAGGCAGTTGTTGAAACTCCACTGAAAATGGTTTTAGAATGGGGAGGCAGAGATTTTGGATTCAAACCCCACCCCAAAGTTTCCCTTTTCTGCATTGGAAGGTGTTCTGGGATTTGTTCTGCCTGAAGAATTAATGTCAAAAGTCCTGCTCCTATAGAATTAGAGGGTAGTCCTCAACAGGGTTCCTATTATTCCAGGGATGGTCATTTCCTGTTAGACCACTGGAGGGCGCCTCTTACTTGGGAACCATGATAACTGGCGTGCAGATCCACAGCATCACCCTGCCATGCCCCCCATGTTCAAGGCTACAGTGTGAGGAATGTTCTGTGTGTACAGCTTGCCATTCCCAGGTGAGATCCCAAATGCCACTGCCTTCTTGGTTTGTTCTTTTTTCCTTCTCTGACTGAATGCAGATAGACTTTTTTCTATCTGCATACAGCGAGCTTTCATGAAAAGCATCAGCTTTCTGCCAGGAGAGCACACTAGTCTTTCTGAAAACATCATGGGGTTGTTGCACTTTTAAACACATTTTTAAAGGGAAGCAGGTACTTACACCTCACTCAGCACAGCATGGTCCCTGGTGTTGGTGGAGAAGTGTTGCTCAAGAATCGCCACAGTGCCTGCAAGAGCCACATGTCCACAGCCACAGAACAAAGCCACCCCGGAGAAGCAGAGGATGGTGGCCACCAGAGAGGCGTAGGGGACTCCTCCCAGACACTTGATGCAGCATTCGAAGCAACCTGGACCCAAAGGAGAGAAAATGCATCTGTTATGGGCAAGGTGCTCTGGTCTTCATGAACACCACACATTAGCAAAGAAGGTTCTCTTTTTCATCTTCCTTATCAGACTCTATGGCTAACAGTGCAACATCCCAAGGGCCAGTGGGTAGTTGTCATGATCTCATTTTCTGTGGGTAAAGACTCTAGGGCTCCAAGAGGGAACGTAGCTTTATGTGCTCAGGGTGAGTGGCAGAGCAGCTACTGATAATTGTGTAGTAAGTCACAATTCTAGAATTTCTTTACTGACCCGGGTTGGTGGGGGGACATGCTTAAGTGACGATGTGGACCAATCACTCCCCTAACAGTCAAAAGAGAGGACAGCAGGGAAGCCGCAGTTCTACAAAGAAAAGCCACCATCAAGTTCCCCTCAACCTCAACCTTCTGGGGTTCCAAGTATTTCTGTTTCTGTAGCAGCCGATGGCTTTGCCAAGCCCTTATGTCCTGGGAACCAGAAGAACAAATACAGTAATCATACTGTTGCTGCATTCAAAAAAAATATGAATGTGATCATTTTGGAAAGGTGATGGGTATTTTGGTCCCTAGAAGTACAGTTACCAAGGCACAGATGAGTGGATCCCCTCAAGTTTCATTCATGTCAATATCAGAAATTATCTTAACTTTGCAATAAAAATGTCCCCCAGCCAAGCAGCACAAGCAGTTTATTCATAGTCCTCCTCCTCCCCTGCTTCCATCTGTCCCCTTCCTCAACACACATGTTTAGAATAAGAACCCAGAACTAGTGGATGACATTTAAGTACTTGAAGAAGGAAAAGGAACAGAAGAAAAAAAAAAAGACAAAATGAGCATCCATGAAGTGAAATGAAGGAGAATGAGCCACAATTCACTCTTCATCTTGAGAAGTCTTCTATTCATTTTTAAAATAAACCTTTACTTGAGATGGCCATGGAGACCCCCACAAGGGGCAAAGCCAGTTGTCATTTTCAGTTTGGAGACATTTATGTTTCAGTAGAGCAGTGCTGGCCTCAGGATAATGTCACTACCTCCCTGACCTTCTGTCCCTGTTTATAGTATCCAGACCCCTAAGTAAATGGCTTGTCAGGGAAATCGAACTCTGAGTGCATTATGAGATCTAACAGCAGTCAGGAGCAGTTCATTACTCCAAGGCAGCTCATGAAGCCAGCTACATTTCTTTTCCCCAAGTAGTCTTTACAGTAGACAGGAAGGGGATACCCAGCATAAAACACTGGAGACAGGCTTTTCCATTTCGATGAACATCCCATTTTAAACCAGCATTTGCTTAACCCCACCACATTACCAGATTTCTCCAGCCTCGATGTGTTCTAGTGCATAAAATAATAGACCTGTGTGTGTTGTATCATTCACAGTCTCCCCACTCCTAGTCTCTATTATACAGTATAAGTAACAGCATGCATGCCTGCTTCCCTGGCTAATCATGTCATATCTGGTCCATATTGCATAGAGGAGTGTGGCCTGGAGGCTGTTCTGTCCAACATGGTAGCCACTAGTTCATGTGGCTATTTAAAATATAATAAACTCAGTTCCACTGGCCACATTTCACATGCTCAGTAGCCACACAAGCTAGTAGCTGCCCTATTGGATAGAGCAGATAGAGAACAGTCTATCATTGCAGAACACTGCTTTGGAAGATACAGTTTCACCTATCACATATTTGATTTTCTATAACATGACCTGGGTTCTAATTGAGTTTTACTTTGGGTTTCATTAATTCAATATTTTTTTAAGACCTACTGGGTGCTAAGCACCATGCTTGGCACTGGGGAAACAACTATGAAATCGGATGTCTTTTATGCCTTCAAGGAGATAGTCTACTAATGCTGAAGGCAGACATATAATGTTATAGTACAGCATGGTAAGATACAGACTACTGGAGAGCCAGTGGATGGTGGGTGGGAAAGGGGAGAGAGAAGGACAGGAACAAATATAATTCATACTGGAGAGGGATTAGGAAAGGCTTTCTACAGAAAGACCTTGTATGCAGAATACAGTTGACATGGTGACATTGACTTATAATCTGATAAAAGGCTTATTCATTCCTGAATGTTTTTATTTTATATATGTATACTATATATTTAAATAAACCATATCCTTTCTCATCATTCGGAGTTAAGTTAGGTGTTATGGCATAGTACACTTGCTCTTTAACAATATAACTCATCCTTCACAATCCAGTTGCCACTTCAAAGGTCTTTCATCCAAAGGGTCATAGCATTCTGCTTCTTTCAGAGGAAATATCACAGCTGCTCCCTGACTCAGAAAGACAAGCGGGGTTAGAAGAATGACGCTGTTCAGTCCCAAATTCAACATTACATCAAGGTTAAAGTTTCCTTCCAATTTATATCTCTCAAGGATTCCATATACCCCATGCTGTGGGTCTAGTTTTATAACAGCAGGAAAAATCAGGGACTCAAGGATTTGGAGGATCACATAAATGAATCAGTCTCTCTGCAGATGGTTTTATTTGCAGCTATAGGAGCTGTTGCTCCTATAGAACAGAAGTCACCATATTGGTCATCATTCCATATTCACAGATAAAACTCTTACGGATCTTCTGGCCAATGTGAGTAGAAGCTTATAGAATGTAACATGGGGAAAAATTATAGGAAATAATACAGCTGGATGCGTAGCAGGTTCATCTAAAGGCACAGTTCAGCCCTCACTCAAGAGAAACTCTTCCCATAACCTTGCTGTTATCATCACTTTGGGTATTGTAGTGTCTCCAAGGTCTTGTTTAATTGAAGCTGTCAGTTAAGCAGAGTAACAGATATGGGTGCAGATGACAGCATTAAAGAAGAGGGAGCAGCTGTCTACTCAATCTATTTCATTCAATTAATGACCATTCAGTGCTCACCAAATGTCTTCAATGTCCCAAGCATTTTTCTGGACACTGGGGACTCAATGGTAAACTAAGATCACTGTGGTCTACACTCTAATGGAGCTTATAGTCTATAGGGAAATGAACATTAACCATATGGTTTTAAACTTAGAAGTCCTAGGAGAGCAAACTGTGGGGACTCACTTAGGTTTCAGAGGGATGGCCATGGATGGCTTCCAGAGTTTAAATATGAAGGATGAATTTTAGTTACTTAGGCAACAGGAGAGCAGAATGGGTTAGGGAGGATGTTTCAGGAACAGAAGGAACAAAAACTCTGTGGTAGAAAAGAACAGGGCGCTTTCCTGGGCATGAAAGAAGCCAGAACACAGAGTGCACAGAGGGTGGGGCAAAGAAGTTAGGAGGGATCTATTTCTGACAGACCACTTAGGGTCTTAAGCACCTTAAGGATTCTGGACTTATCCTCAGAATCATTTGAAGCCATTGAGCACTTGTAACCACAGAGAACAGACTGGGGTTGCAAAAGATCACTGAGGCTGATGTGATGGGAACAAAGTAGAAGTGGAGATGAGTTGGAACTCTGTATAAAGGTTCACACAAAAGGTGACAGGAGCTTGGGCCAGGGCAAATGTGGTGGCAGTGTAGGAAATTAAGGGCTCTGAGAGATGATTAAGATGTCAAATGGGCTCAACTGGTGTGGATTTGATCATGGGGTTGGGAATGGGTTGGTGAGCACCAAAGATGACTCCTAAATGTCTGGCATGTATAACCAGATGGATATTGTATTGTACTCCTAGCTAGGTTGGCCAGAAGAGGACTAGGCTTTGAGGACAAAGATGTTGAGTTGCCTTTTAGGCATGTTGAGTGTTAGGTGACTGGAAGTCATCTTAAGGGAGGATTTCTCGTAGGTCTATAGCTTAGAAGAACTAAGGATGGATGCCATCATCTTCTACTGGACAGCAAAGAAAACTTTCAGATATCAACAAATCATAGGAGTGGACCATTTATCAGTTGAAAGCGCTTTACTAGTAGACCCTTGGTTTTGCAAAGTGTGGTCTTTGGACCAGCGGTATCAGCTTCAGCAGGGAGCTTGGGAGAAATGCAGAATCTCGGGCCCCACTCCAGACCTGCTGAATCAGAACCTTCATTTTAACCAGCATCTGCCTCAGGTGACTTGTGTGAACAATAAAGTTTGAGAAGCCCATTTCTAGTCAACAGTCCCATCTTCCCAGTCTCAGGGGTGGTGTCCTGAGCACGTTTGAAGTGCCTGTGTTGTGTTCAACCATGCTTGGTGTTTTTCCCTTAAGAGTTGGCCTACTGAACTTGGCAAAACTCTAGCAAATCAAATGACAAGTTCCAGGGGCTTCAATGAAGAAAACAAAATGTTTCAAGTTGTTCAGCTGTCTTGAAAAGAGTGCAACTAGAGTGGTTTTTTTCTGGGCCAAGTAAGTCCTCTTACCCTCAGAATTTCTGACAAAGATGCTTTAGAGCCACACCATAGATGAGGTCTGAGAAAACAGATTCATTCCCTCACCCTACCCCGCCATGAGGCTGAGAGTGCCCATACAGACAAAGGAACTGGATTTGTGATTCAGGCTGTCCCCACTGTGAGAAGTCACAGGCAAGATTGGTGTTTTGAAATGTGGAGGGGGTGCCAAGTATCAGCAGAGCACCGCACTGTTCAAGTTCATGCTAGCTAAGGAAGGTCAATGCTTTTCTTGGATACTCCATAAATCCACACTCCAGTTTTCCCAAGCTTCAAACCAGTAAGGACAACATTGGTTACAGTGAACCAGAAAAGGCAAGGAAAGCATTTTTTTTTTTTGTCATGACTATGATCAACTCAAGTAAAAATAAAAATTACCAGGCCTTTAAGCACATTTTGCTACTAATTCTCAATGTCTCTCACCAAAGCCCCAGAATCTCTTAGGTTACTAATGCTGCAAGCCTTCAGTTAGTCGGTCTCGGCGGCTAAAGAGAATTTTGAATTTTCAGTTTTGATTTACACAAAAAGTCCAGTGTGTGTTAGCCTAAGAGTTTAAATATAGACCACATAGTAGGGAGAAAGAAATCCACATCAATGCCTCTAACTCTCAATGGCCAGCTTGTCTCCAGTATCTCTAGAACC